GTAAATATAAATACCGTAGTTGTGCCATATGAAGAGGTCGTCAAAGCGCTGGCTGGAGGGACTAGCACCATCATTTATGACACTAGAATTGCCATTGGTTAAGAATTAAAGCCTGTCTCCTTTGTAATGTACAGAGGTTTTCAAAAATGTATTATACTGTAACTAAATGTGCAATGTTTAATTAAACAACTGGTAGTTATGGATTACGCCCATAAATAAAACCACGGGTATTTGAATTACAAAATAAATGTCATACGGAGGATATTACAAATATTCACTGATAAATATCGCAAATTTAACACTTAAAAAAACATTAACCTAAAAATGCTACAAACATGCTAACAATTACTATTTAAATACTGTAAATAAATTAAATAAAAACAGATTCCTAGCAATTAATGTAAAACTGAATTATCAAAATGTAGAAAGCTGAATATATTTTATGCTCTTTTGCATGATGCCATTGGGTTTTATTGCAGATTACAATGAAGATTACTCAACTCTCTGAATATGTTAGATATTAAGTCACTGCACATCTTCCCATGTGTATTATGTATATATAAAACGCTGAACTGTAATGGCAATCCTGACCTTAAAAGCTTCATTGAAGGTTGTAACAGAACCCATGAGCACCACACCAGAAACAAATACTTTTTTGATATTCCAAGATTACTACTTAATAAAAGTAGAAATGCTCTACAAATCAAGGGACCCCAGAATGTGGAATGACCTTCCCAATCATGTTAAAGACTGTACCTCTCTCAACCAGTTTAAGATAAAAACTAAGCACTACCTAATTAACTCCCTGTAACCTACCTTACCCCTATAATTGTACAAGTTATACCTTACCCCTATAAGGCATTGTATGTACTAGCTCTATCTATAAAGCCAACAAACATTGTAAAATCTCTTTATGTATGTACCTTTACCTAAATAAAAATTATAATTATTATTATTATTATTATAATGTCAACCCATGTCTATTATTTTTAAACAATGCAGTTTGTCGACCAAATTGTATTTTTGCTGTTTTTCTGCCATGTTCCCCCTTTTTTATTTTTATATTTTCTCAACACATTTTATACTTTAATCTCAATTAGTATTAAGTTTTAGTCTTTAGTGTTTTTCCTGCCCGAAACACTTTGCATAATAGTGGCTTTAGGCATTGTATGTACTAGCTCTATCTATAAATTCATCAATATTTGTATCACCCCTTGTATGTATGTACTTTACCTGAATAAACATTTGAATTTGATTACCAGATTTTTATCTTGGCTACTTAACTGCTGACACTGTTAATGAAAATTTGTACTGGTAGCCTATTTGACAAAACCACTGTCATTATTCGTTATTCACGTTTTGTAGTTGAGAGTACAGTATAAATACATAATTTTTTGTATTAATAATTGTAATTCACAGTAATTCTGGTTGCCATCAAACTCACTGGGAAGGCACTTCAGTGGTCTATGTTATTTACTCTCAATTGTGAATCCCAAGATCGAACTCTATTAGGACAGAAATGGTTGGGAACATTTCCTTTCACCTGATACTGCTGTTCACCTACCATTAAATGGGTACCCAGAGATAGGAAACCGTTGTGGGTTGCATTCTGGGAAAGTTTGGTAATTGGACCTTGGAGGATCTCGTTACACAAACAAGTAAAGGACTCCCATCCTCTACAACAGGAATTAATACCTTGAACAGTGTATTACAACCCTCGAGAGAGCGATGATTACGTTCAGCCTCTAGTGACATAATATACACACACTGGGAGTTAACAATGCATGTAGACATGTGCATATAATCATTCAGAGATGTCCATATAATTATGCATCACAGCACTGGGAAAATTAAGATAAAATGCACTTCACAATATAAACTGGGAATCTGAACTCAACAATACACAGGATATAAATTCATTAGCCGACATCTTTCTCTCCAAAATTCAAAGCCTCTACAACACACACTGTCCTCTCCTCACTAAGAAAGTAACTGCCAAAAGATTAAACAACCCCTGGCTCACAAGTGGCATACTTAAAGCAGTTAAAAAGGAATACGAATATGAAAAACAAAAAAATGATCCTAGTTACAAAAGAAGTTAAGAGATACTCATCAATGCATACCAATATAATACAAAGAGCCAAAGCTTCCTTTTATGAGAATAGATTTAAAGAAGCAAAAGGAAATATGAAAAGTACATAGAAAGTCATCTCTAACATCCTAGGCTCTAAACAACAATCACATAAGCAGATAAAACTCTCCAAAGATTGTTACACACTTGCAACAGACTTAGAACTTAGCAACTGAATTCAACAGCAGGTTCTCATCAATTGGTGCAAACCTTGCCAAAAAAATCCCAGAGACCCAGACACTATATATCTCACAGGCAGCTATCCTAACTCCCTACTTCTTTTACCAGTCAGCATGACAGACATTATATCCATAATTCAATCACTTAAAACCAAAGCTGGGAACATTAATGAAATACCATCCATGATATATAAGAGTGCTACCCTTGCTCTTGCACTACCCATAGCTCTGCTATTCAACAAATCTCTAGAGTGAATCTCTCTCAAATCTCTGAAATCCGTAAAAAAGCAAGAGGGACACCAGTTGCTAAAAGAGGCGAGACAGCTGACAAACAATTACAGACCAATATCAAATCTACCTATACTATACTTTCAAAAAATTTGAAAAATTATTTACAAACAGCTCTATATATTCCTACTTTATAAAACTTTTGATACTGTAAACCATAACTACCTCTTACTTAAACTTTAACACTATGGTATCCGAGGCCTTACTCTGGACTACTGTATATTCGTTCCTATCTCAGTGACAGACACCAATATGTAGTCATCAATAGCATAACCTCCCCCACTTTACCACTGACAGTAGGGGGTGCCACAGGGTAGCATCTTGGGACCTCTCCTATTTCTTATATATAACAATGATCTGCCAAATGTTTCTAACATTCTTAAATCTATACTATTTGCAGATGATGCTACCTTTGTCTATTCTGACCCCAACCCCCACACATTAAATAATATTGTCAACAGTAAATTTAAAATGTTCACTCATGGATGTCAACTAACAAACTTACACTAAACATAGAAAAAACCTTCTACATTTTATTTGGTATTAAGTCATCAAATGAGATTCAACTTCAGATAGACAATGTTAACATTACCAATACAAATAAGGGGAAGTTCCTTGCCTATACAAAAACAAGGGACTGAACTTCAGCACCAACATACAACACATAGACAAAAAAAAAAAAGTCTCAAAAACAGTTGGTATACTTTCTAAAATCAGATTTTATGTCCCCCACTCTGCTCTCTTCTCATTATACTATACACTAATCTATCACTATCTAACATCCGGTATCTGTGCATGAGGGTTCAACCACTGCAAATTACTTCAAGCCTATCATCACTTGGCGGATACTTGCTATCAGAACTATAACAAAACTCTGTCTTCAGACAACACACAGCCCCCCCCCTCTATTTAAGTCCCTTAACATGCTAAATATACACTCACTCCACACATTCTCATGTGCTATCTTCATGTACAAAAACCTTGTTCCTTTGACAGTTGAGAGATGGGGGCAAAGAGCCACAGCTCAACTCCCCTAAGTACAACTAGAAGAGTACAACTAGGTGAGTACACACACTGAAGGTAGCTGATGGTGAAGTCTACACTTTGATCATGCATATATATAATATATATACAGTATATAATATATATATATATGTATATTTCAGCCATGTTATTGTGACTTATCGTCTGCATGTACATAACCTCTTGATTACATAATGTATTGACGGGGGCGAGATGAAGCTAAGCACTATCAACACCCAAGTGTGAGTGGGTATCTCATGAAACAAATTATGATACCAGATGGTGTCTTCCAGACTTGAAGCAGCTGTTGTTGTTTTAGATTCAGCTACTCTGAACAAAAAAGTTCCAAGTAGCACTTGCTATGGGACTTGAGGCTTAGTGCTATATATATATACATTAAGGATAATACCCTTTATCCAATTAGTCTTAGGGTTCCTCCTTGAGCATACTTACCATGGCATTGGATATTCCCCTTAAATATTTTAATTTAATGGAATTTGTTTACAATGTTCAAGAAATGTGTAAATATTTCATTCAAAATTATCTACTACTAGAAATTTTAGCCAAATATCCCCAGTTTGCTAACTGGGGATGACTAGTAAATGTAAATGACAAAACCTTTCCACCGCTGCCCACTGGATGAGGAAGGGGGGGGGCAGTGTGCAGGATAAACATCAATTTTGACACAAGCTCTCCACATATGTAAGTTACACAATTTAGAAACTACTTATGGTCAGTCTTGAACCCTGAACGGTTATGTAACAATATACATTCAATTTTGTAACTAGCTCATCAAAACTATAAATTCCTTAGCTAAATGAATTTTGGGGTTCAGTCCCTGAACCCATTATGTGCCTCTGTAACCCTTTCCACTACCACCCACAGGATGGGTATGGGGGTGCATAATAAATGAACTAATCTAGCTATACTGTTCCATCCAATAGATAGAATTCTTCAACAAGAGTTTAAAATGTTATTGTAGTTTTTTTTAATCTGAAGTTGCCATGCATTACTAAATGAAATATAGCTTACATGTTGTGGACATCATTCTTCTGTACTGAGGAGTTTGAAAGTGGAAATATAGAGTATGTTTTCAGTAATTATAGCTGCTTGCTCTCAGGTTTTCTAAATATAAAAAAAACCTAGGCACAAAATATATTCTGAAGGATATTGCTTGTATAATTACCTATGTATCACTGTCAATGTGCTTTATACTAGTTGAATTTAATAGAGTTGTTTTACTCTAAGATACAAAAAGAGCTAAAAAAAAATACTGTACATTAGTACCATTAAGTAAATACTGTTTCCACAAATTAACTTTTCCAAATGTAGATTTTTGAAGGAAAGAACAGACATTAACATAGAGAATAAAACAATAATTAAATCACAGCTTCATCTTAATACAAATTTTGAAGCCGAGAGAAGTCCAGCTCATTTACAACAATATATTCATTCACATATACAGACAATCTTTAAATAATTAATAATATGGTTCATTCTCAACTTAGAACTGTAGTCTCATCTCAAGTAAAGTGCTGTCATGTCACTGACAAGGACAAGAAATTACCATGGCTGCCATTCTTTCTGTCAACCTTAATCAATTCCCAATTTAATGGGGTAGAAAAGGTACACAAAGTCTCACATAAACTACAACAAATCCAACAGATTCATCTTCCACATGTGGACAGCTGTCACCTCATTTATTGATCAGTATAAAAGAAAAAATAAATTAGAAAATACTAAATATATTACAATTAACTTGAATGGTAAAAAATTAACAATATCATGTACAAATATATAAAAGCTAAAGAAAAAACACAGTACATCTATAAGAAAAGATTAAAAATGAATGAGTTGACTTTATATTTGGCACAGGTGGCATTTTCAACACCAAATTTCATGTTCAGCTTACAATGAATGATGTATCCTATGTGTATTTAAATAATCGTGAGTAGCATAAATGAGATTAGGGTATAAACAGATAAATATATTTTTCTATACAATACTGTTCGAGACAGATTACTGTAACCAGTCATTTTGTGAGGGGGGTGTCTCTGAAAAGTGGGTGCCAACTGTACAATAGGCACTGCTGAAAGCTGCCATCTGTACACTATGCACCTCTGAAGGCACCACTGCAGTTATTAACTATACATTATGCAGCTCTGAAGGCACCACTGAGAGCTGCTATCTGTACACTAGGCACCATTAAGGGCTGCCATCTGTACATTAGGCAACACTGACCCTGATTTGATCTTGATTATCTAGTACAGAAATCACAAACACAGTCAGCTTCACAGAGAACTATGTACACATCACCTGTTTTATTTCTATAGGGATGTCATCGCAGGAGGCCGAGCGTAAGCCTTTGGTATAAAGCCATACTTTCGAGTCTTTGGAGCATATGCCCACAGCCATCCATCTACAGTCTGATTGTTCAAGTCAGCATAGATCCAGTCTCCTCGACGCACTGATAAGTCATCTGGGGCTTGTGCCTGTAAATAAAATAATACAATTAGAACTTATTAGTAGCAGGGGAAAATAATCTAACTTCAAAATATATATAACTGTCCTACATCTATGAAAGAACTGCAAAGCATTAATTTGCATGAGAATCTCTCAATGGTAACATGCAAATTATCTTAAAAGTCAAAAACAAAATGAAACCATACTCAATGTAATTTATAACACATGGATAATAGTAGGCTATTAAGATTCTATATTAACAATGCACACTTAACAAAAGGAATGATTTCTGAATGAGTTGGGACCAAGTTGTAATGAACAAGTAGTACTGTTGGCTTTATTCTCTATTTACAAACAGGGATCCTGAGTTTGATTCCCAAGTGAGACAGAAATGGTCGGGCATGTTTCCTTTCACATAATAAACCTGTTCATCTAGCAGTAAATAGGTATCTGGGAGTTGGAAAACTGCTGTGGAGTTGCATCCTGGGAAGGGTCAGTAGTTCTACCTTGGGGGACCTCATACAAGCACAAAGTGTATATATACAGAGGCCTCCTGTTCCCCAACAATGGGAATTAGATTATTACAAACATTTCCTGTTAGTGCTGTGTTAGTGCTGTGTTTCCCATTGTCAGAAGCAGGTAGCCTCTTAAGACTTATAGAAGTTCCCTAGGCAGATGACTGACCTTTACCAGGAGTTGCCTTACTCCTAGGTGCCTATTTAATGTTAGATGAGCAGAGGTGTAAGGAAACATGCCATAATGTTTAGTTGTGCAAAAATTTAACCCATTTGTGTTGTATAACATATAACACACCAGGATGGTATTTAAATACTGTATACAATGTGCTTGTTCTACATGGAACCAGTACCACATTATACAAAATGGCATTACTGTGTTATACAAGTAACATACCAAATAATGTTAATCTGATCATACACAATACATTCATTACACACACATTTAACAACACTGTGACTGATGCAACATTAAGCATGCACTAAAGTGCACAAAACCACTGTCATTCACTTCTTCCTGCAGGTTTCTCACCTAAACACTAACGCCTCATTGAGCATGGCCCACAGGAGTAACATGAATTATTCTCAATGAATGCCCTTTAGTGGCAAATTTAGTTAAAAAGTGTAAATTTTGACTAAACAGGCATCACAAACAAATTTAGTGAATAAAATGGCACCAAGAGGCACACACCTTATAATCATAGAGCATGACAAGTTCCGAGCCATGAAACCGAAGGTCGTCGCTGTTCCCAGGATTTATATGATGCTGGGAGGCCCCATAGCCCAACTGGTGCCCCCCGACGCTACCTAAGCCATGTATCGTGCCCACCATCACCCCGCCACCAGTTGTACCCCCACCTTGATCCAGGTGATCTGAAATATTTATAAGATAAAACTCTATTTACATCATGTATACAATTTGTCCATAGTGTAAACAAGGTGACACACAGGTTCACATATGTAAACAAGGTGACACACAGGTTCACATATGTAAACAAGGTGCACACACAGGTTCACATATGTAAACAAGGTTCACACACAGATTCACATATGTAAACAAGGTTCACACACAGGTTCACATATGTAAACAAGGTGCACACACAGATTCACATATGTAAACAAGGTGCACACACACATTCTTCCATCGGGTTTGACCACATCTAGAGCAACACCAAATATTTGTAATGGTAAAGATCAAAATGTACGACTAAACTCAGTGAGTTTGGCTATAGTATCAACATAGCTTTTTTATACTAAGGTAAGGAACATCATCAGAATGAAAGGGATTTATCTAATCAAAGGAGAATCACAATTGATGTAAAATGATGTACTCATTCTTAAATGGAGTTCTCACCCTTGAAAATTACTAACAATAATCATTAAACCTCTTAAATTACAAAATTCATACAACCTTATTATAGTGTACAGTATTCTAATTAACTTTTCTCAGGCATGTGCAATAGCATTTCACATGGCAAAATTCTTTATCATCAAACCACAATTTCCACTAAATAATCATTTATAAGATTCTACATGTGAAAAGGACAAACAGCAATTAAATTTTTACATCAAAACTAGCAAGACATACCTTGTATTACATCCGCTGGATAGACAAATCCAGATGGAACAAAACCTTCCTGTCCATCTGATCTTAGAACCCAGTACCAATCAGGATCTTCACGGTTGAGTACAGTTACGAACTCTCCACGCTCTACACTCACATCATTTTCATCACGTGCAATAAAGGTGTATAAGACAATGTACCTGCCAGCAGGATCCTTAATGAGAAAAGAAATTATTTTAATCATTAATAAGGGAATTCTTTAACCCTTAAAGTGCGGTTATCACCATATGATGATTCATGGGATAATGCAGTTATCATTTACCTGAATTTACCATTTGATATTATCATATCATAATTTAAACTATTATTATCTGGGTTTCACATGTACGATAAAAATAAGGATCATAGGTTTATGTCGATGTAATGATTTTTACCTTGACCCATGAAACATACACACTGTGTATGGCAGTGCACAATAGAAAGTTGTATTTACATATTTGTACATTGAAAGGTGTATACAGTCTAATGTAGTTGATTATAACCATGATATATATATGTGCTTCAGCCTACAGTTTAAACCTATTGTGATGTGTATGATCCTCTGTCCTGTGCAACAGAGAATCCCAGCATTATCCTCACTCTAATAAGACCTAATTGAATTCATCATATTAGGCAAATTGTAATTAATGTTTGTCAATAAAGATAATAATAATAATAATCCCTGATGACAGATTGCCAAAACAGATCCTAAAACATAAACTGGGAAAAACATAAGCTTAGAAAAAAAAAAATAATGACAGTTTAGGTTATGTATAACAAATTCCAGGCTAAAAATGTATGAATATAAAGACAGGAGTGTAAAGCTATAATAAAATCTCATTACTTGGTGGCCTTCATGCCATCATGTTTCATATGTATTTTAGGGGATAATTTGAGGAGTTATCATGATTATCAACTTCATTAAATAAAGACCAGTAATACATATATGATAATTCATATATGATAACCTCTACACTTTACATAACACACTTGTATGAAAATTCTATTAGTGTAAAACATATTCTAATGTTTACACTTATAAAATACACACACACTTCCCCTATTTTCAACAGTGAATGTTTCTCACCTTTAGCAGTTATAAGACAAGTCAAGTTTTGCTGGAAATCCAGTCATATTAGTGTTGTCTGCGATGTCCTAGCAGATATTGCCCTTAAGGAAGCAATCTGAATGTGTCCCATCTCGGAAATCTATTCCATATTCGGGTTCTATCATGTCACTCAATGGATCCATAACCATTGGAAAGGTAGTTAGTTAGTTACTACCAATAACAAATTATGTGCTATGAAATGTGACTTATCCCCATGGCCATCCTCCTTCCACCATACAGTAATAGGAAGTGGGAAACCTCCTTGGCATGGTCACTTACCAGCCACACAAGGTTAACTCATGGGCACTAAGTGGAATAGAAACACGCCCCCTTACTCTCCGACGGTAGAGCGACGGTCTTGCTTCATGCAGGTCGGCGTTCAATCCCTGACCGTCCAAGTGGTTGGACACCATTCCTTTCCCCCGTCCCATCCCAAATCCCGACCCCTTCCCAGTGCTATATAGTTGTAATGGCTTGGAGCTTTCCCCTGATAATTGACCCCCCCCCCTTACTCTCCTAATTGCTATGTTCTACTTAGTCAACTTTCTTCTGGCTCAATATTCCAATTTTCAGGATAATCAGAAATTTTACTTTCTCACTGTCTTTATATTCACATAAAACTTCATAATTTTATTCATAAGAATGTGTACACAAAGAACATAAGAGGAATAGACAATTGAAGGGACAGGAGTTACACATACTAATGAAGCCACTAGTATGCAAAGCAAATATAAATTCTTTAACACAGAATGCCTATGACTGTCTTTCTGCTTCTGTATTGGCATGCTGAGTGATATCTAGGAATTCTTGAATCTCTTGAGACATGCATAATGCTATGCAGTATAGCCATGTTTAGTGCTTTCTTTATATAATTACTGTCTTGCTTACTTCCTTTACAATGTATCAAAGGACAAATGGTTGGCCTATATACAATAAACATAATGAACACAAATTAATACAGTGTATATGTTGGCAAACCTTGAAAAACGGATGAATGTCCGGTGTAGCCGTGCCACTTTGGATAGAAGAATCTGAAGTTCTATTGGGCGGACTGCCTATTAATTTCCCTCCATAACTCTCATTATCTGATCCCACCAGTCCTGGATTATCTGTAAGAACATAACACTCATATCTGTTATTCAAAATGTAGTTGAGTTTGTGGAGTTAAGCAATACATTATTTATTTTATTTTTATTTATATATATATACAAGAAGATACATTGGGATTGTGAGGATACATAGTATAGTAATTACAATCTTGTAAAGCCACTAGTACGCGCAGCGTTTCGGGCAGGTCCTTAATCTAAGGAAATTTTAAGTATGTAAACAAACAAAAAATACAAAATCAAACCAACTCTAAAAAATCAGCAGGATAGACAAACACGTCGCCTCTTATATATCTTTTTCATAAAACCTTTAAAGGTTTGAAAAATACAGCTAAGCTAATTTTAATAGTAAAAGTTAGGTATGCAGTGTACGTAGAACTAAAAAATTTCACCTTGTTATCAATATTAAGAAACTTTTATGTTAAAAATAAAAAAATTCATTAACATTTCGAACGATGCAATACATTTTCATCTTACATTTCTGAAAATAATTTAAATGTTAAATGTTTAAATGTTAAATAAACCTTAGTTAAATAACCTTAGTCTCCCATGACACTACTGTGGGAGGTAAAAATGAGATTTGACAGTTTTGCAAGTGCATCAGGGTGGGTGCCAGATGGTAATGGGTGCATTAACTGGTATTGGGGTTCCACATGGTAAAGGGTGCATTAACTGGTATTGGGGTTCCACATGGTAAAGGGTGCATTAACTGGTATTGGGGTTCCACATGGTAAAGGGTGCATTAACTGGTATTGGGATACCACATGGTAATGGGTGTGTTAAATGATATTGGTGCCACATGGTAATAGAGGTGCCCTTTCTCTGGCTCATTGTCCTTTAGCTACACTCACTCTAGTAGTAGGTGACGATGATCTGCTACACTTACCTCTACGAGTATTCCTGCAAACTTGATATTAAAGTTTTGTTAGGCTATTTTTATATCAAATATTTGGTCAGTGACTTGCAAATGCAAATGATATTCCATCTTCCAGTACTGACATTAAGGACTATCTTACAGGTAACTATCCACAGTCTCTGTACCTAAAGCCTATTAACTCCACTGACGTCAATGAGATAATCCTTTCCCTTAAAACCAAGTCTGGTGCCCTTGAGGAGATACCAACTTTAATTTACAAAAAAAGCCTCCAGATCTTTAGCCCCTGCTATTGCTTTGCTCTTCAACAAGTCACTTGAACTCCAAACCTTTCCAGATATTCTAAAAAAAGCGAGAGTAACGCCTGTCCACAAATGTGGTGACCCCACAGATGTTAACAACTACAGACCTATATCAATCCTGCCAAACTTGTCAAAAATTTTTGAAAAACTAATATATAAGCAGCTTTACTCATATCTAGCCAAACTCAATATACTTAGCCCTTGCCAATATGGCTTCAGACCCAAAAAAAGCACTAACGATGCACTTATTAGTATGCTTAACTCGATTCATACAGCTCTTGATAAAAATGAGTTCCCTGTTGGGTTATTTGTGGACCTGCGTAAAGCTTTTGATACTGTCAACCACCATAACCTTCTTCTTAAATTACATCATTATGGAGTCAGAGGACACTCCCTACAATACCTCGAGTCCTACCTTACTGACAGGCTCCAATATGTTTCTGTGAATAATACAATTTCTCCCACCCTACCCATCAACATTGGTGTTCCTCAGGGCAGCATACTTGGCCCTCTCCTCTTTCTCATCTACATTAATGACCTTCCAAATGCCTCCCAACACCTCAAACCAATTCTATTTGCTGACGACACAACCTTCATTTACTCCAGTCCTGACCCTCTTGCTCTAAATGCCACAGTAAATACTGAGCTAAATAAAGTCCATCTTTGGCTAACTGCCAACAAACTCACCCTTAACATTGACAAAACTTTCTATATTCTGTTTGGCAATAAATCCTCTAGTCAAATAAATCTCAAAATAAACAATACCCAAATTTGTAACAAATTAGATGGCAAATTCCTTGGCATTCTCATTGACCACAAGCTGAATTTCCAGGGACACATTCTAAATATATCAAAAAAAGTTTCAAAAACTGTGGGCATTCTTTCTAAGATCAGATATTATGTACCACGCCCTGCCCTGGTGACTCTCTATTACTCCCTTATCTATCCTTATCTCAACTATGGTATTTGTGCTTGGGGTTCTACTACCCAAAATCACTTACGTCCTCTAATTACCCAACACAAAGCTGCTATTAGAACAATATCCAACTCTGGCCCCAGACATCACTCGGTACCCCTACTCAAATCTCTGAATATGTTAGATATTAAGTCACTGCACATTCTCTCATGTGTATTATACATATATAAAACGCTAAACTATAATGCCAATCCTGATCTCAAAAGCTTCATAGAAGGTTGTAACAGAACCCATGAGCACCACACCAGAAATAAATACAGTTTTGATATTCCTAGAGTACGACTTAATCAAACTAGAAATGCTCTGCAAATCAAGGGGCCCAGAATGTGGAATGACCTTCCCAACCATGTTAGAGACTGTACCTCTCTCAACCAGTTTAAGATAAAAACTATACCTAATAAATTCCCTGTAATCTACCTCACTCCTCTATTGTCAACCCATGTCTGTTATTTTCTTTTTTTTAATCAACACTGTTTGTCAACCTATTGTATTTGTGCTGCTTTTTCAGTCATGTTCCCCCTTTTTTTTTTTATCTTTATTTGTATTTGTTCTCAACACTTTTTATTCTTTATGCTCAATTAGTATTAAGTTCTAGATATTAATGTTTTTCTTGCCCGAAACGCATTGCGTAATAGTGGCTTTAGGCATTGTATGTACTAGCTCTATCTATATATCAATCCATTAATGTAACATCACTTGTATGTATATACCTTACCTGAATAAACATCTGAATCTGAATCTGAATCTGAACTTGAATGACAGCCAGATGAACACCAAACATTTGTTAACATATGCAGGCCACCAAGACATTTATTAAATCATTTGACAGTGTCTCAATAAGTCTCAGAAAGAGGCTCTTCCGTTGATAGTGAGTGAAGTTTACAGCAAAAGCAAGGCATGAAAACCGAGTTTAAATGATTTACTATTCCATTAAACATACCTCATTACTAAGTAAATGAACAAATGCAGTTTTACATGGCTGGGTGACTTACCTATCCAACTGTAATGGACAATGCCATTCAAGATCTAAGGTAGTCCTTTTTTATGTAAAGCCTGTCATAATTTGTCACATCTGAGAACAATTTGAAATATGATAGTAAAACAATAAGGGAAACCTCAATAAGCATAATAAGCTCATTGTCCCCAACACTGAGACATGAGAAGCCAAGACACGTGCCAACTACTACACCAAATACTACCCTATACCTTCGAACCCAGAATGATTGCACAAAATATTAAAACGATTTCATAGTGTTTCATATCTCTCTTAAACTGTTAAATTACTGAGAAAGAGAAACTTGCAAACAGTACCAGAGACACAAACTACATTAACTGAACATCCCAAGTGTCCAAACAGTACATACATCATAACAGTGACCAAATATACACACCTGTGCCTCCAGAGTTGATAGTACCTATTGTAGTGTTGTGGTCTGTATCAAGGCCACCTCCGCCTCCTCCTTCCAATGAGTTATGTTCACGAGGCATTTTTTTCTGTGGTAAAGAAAATTAAATTGATTTTTCATGTATGATATAAGTTCTCTGATTAGAAAATGTGTCCACAATACTGTATACTTAATAAATGTACTTTCTTCAATCAAATACTGAACTGACACCCTATTCAGACATCCAAATATAATATACACAAATGCCTATACAAGGATAGCTGTTTACAAGTTATTACTGAGGTTCATAACAAGTGTCAAACCATCTGTTCAATTGTATTAGAATAACATAAATTGTTTTATCCACATGGCAAATATGAAGTAGGGGCACATACTTTATGGTTCATGGTAAGTTCCCCGAGCTGTGACCCGAATGGTGCGCAGTAGGAGTGAGGGATGAAGCCTTCCTGTTGGCCATGCTCCGCGATAACGTATACCCAGTCATTTTCCTGATAAAGTACATTTACAACCTGGAAAATGCATAAACTGTTTCAGAGCTGAGTATTTATATATTTTATTTATTTATATATATACAAGAAGGTACATTGGGATTGTGAGGATACATAGCATAGTAATTACATTCTTGTAAAGCTGCTAGTACGTGCAGCGTTTCAGGCAGGTCCTTAATCTAAGAAACTTATAAGTAGGTAAATACTTGCAAAGTACAGTACTTTACAGTACTCGAGTAAGACTTGAGTGACAAGATAACAAGATCACAGCTACACTATGTATGAGTTTGAATTTAAATACAGGATAACATTAAATTTAAAGACTTAAAAACAGAGCCATTCTGATACAGTGTACAATACAAAAATAATATTCAGAAAATGTTATTAATATATAAAATCCAAGATAAATGGATTAAGGTAAGGTTTGGTGTTGATAAATCACTATTACTGAACATTAATTACTGAATCTGTAAATTTGCTGTGTAAAAATAAAAATAAAATTGTATTTCTTCTGTTTATTTAGTGTAAATTACTGTTGTTCTGTTGCAATTTCTGCGGTACCAATCACCATGTAATAATTGTCATTTTTTCAATTTCTTTACTTCAGTTCATTTTTGCTTTTGATCTCAAATAGTTTTAAGTCTTTAGCTTTAAGTATTTTTTCCACATCATACCTAAAATGCTCTGCATATTAGTGACTTTAGGCATAGTACTGTACTTGCCTTACCTATAAATCCTACATTCTTCTTGTATCCTATTTTGTATGCATGTACTTTTGTTTAAATAAAAATTATTATTATTATTATTATTATTATATAAGAGCCTTCCAAGCACTGGCACAATATATTCTCACATAAAGAATGATGTGTGTGGAACAATCAAGCACTGTATGATTATAAGAAAGCATTACTAAACTGATGCCACAACTACAAACACTGTATACACTTGAATTAAGAGATTTAGGAATGATCGCTGTGCTACAAAATTTGTATAAAAAAGGAGAACAGCTTCCAGGTTCACTTGCAAGATTTGGGAGAGCCACAAATAATATAAAACTAAGACCTTTTGGGAATTGTGTAATCCTTTTGTGCTACTGCTCACAGGGTCTAGTATGAGGTGCGCAGTAAGTTAGCCATTGCTGGCAACTACACGAAAAAATCACAAGTAAAACCATGAAGACTTTGTTTCTGGGGGGGGGGGGGGGGGAATTGGGTTGCCTTTAGGGAGATTTGTTTGGATGTGACAGGGGCAGGTGTTGAGGGGCATCTACATCTACCCCTCATCACTTTATCAAGCTGAAAACTTGCTAACAAAATAGCAGAAATATAATAAATTGCATATATTAAAAAATTTCGGGGAGATTTGGTAGAGGAATTGTTTGAATTATTGTAATGGGCCTAAATCTACTAATAACTTATAATATAATTAACACTTTCACTGGCTCAGTTAGGCACCCAAATCACACGGGAAGGTAGGCCGAGCATTTCCGGTGAGCACACAACCTGATGTTAAACTCATTCACGCACAATGTTTATACTTAATAATAAACCACTGCAAAAAATTTTGCATGCACTCTCCGCTTTTTGGTTTTATGACGGAATATGCATGATCAGGCAGCGAAAGTGTTAATATTAGTACAGTACCAGTGCTCAAAAAAGATGTAGTTCAAATTTGTTAAGACAACAGAAACCTATATAAAATGTTAATAAAAGAATGGTTGGAATGCAGACGATGAGTCACAATAACGTGGCTGAAGATATGATGACCAAACCACACACCAGGAGATGAGGAGACGACGACGTTTCGGTCCATCCTGGACCATTATCACAATCGACTTGATAATGGTCAAGGAAAGAACAAAACGTCATCGTCTCCTCATCTTCTGGTGTGTGGTTTGGTCATAATGTCTGGAATCACAATATAAATAAAAATAAAATAAAATACTAGTATGCACAAAATCAAGCATTGAATTTAATGAAACATTTATGGGTGGCTTCAGTAGCTTCCCAGTGGACTGCTCTTTTACCAGACACATCCACAAAACTAATCAGGGCTTTGGATTAGTGCAGGCCTACCAACCACAACAAACAGAATCTGGTGTGTTCATAGAGAAACAAAGGAGCATTGTGACCCAAACCAAGTAAAACCACCCATAAAGTACAGGTGGTGCAAAAGAAATTACAACCCCTGGCTGGTGTGGTGAGAGCTGGAAACTAACTCTACGCTAAGGCCCAACACACTGGGCACCACAGAACCAAATCTTAAAGAGCCTTAAGGGTAAAATGAAGAATAAAAATTCCTTGAAGGAACAAAGAAGCTGCAACATTTTGTTCCGGCATTGGTGAAGCACCAACCTGTGCAGAAAATGTTACAATGCCTTCAGCCAAACTTGGCAAAATGGGAACACTATGCAGGTAAAAATCAGGTGATCAAGGTGTTCAATGTTCTGACAGGACAGATAAGGGCATCATAACACTAACTGAAGATGGTGGCAGCAGCCTAATAGGCCAACACCCAGGGTGGCAGCACAGCCAACATAGATGTCCAGCAGCAACAAATATCCCACCTCTGCTGGTGAAAAAAATACTGTACATAAAACTCATCATCAAAACTCATCATGCAGTGACAGCAGCAACAGAAATGTCTGTTAGGGCTTAAAAACACTGATGATCATCCATAAGAGTGAGCATGAATTCTCATTCATTCTGAAAGCTGAAAACAGCATAATTTAACTCATGAGTATGGGAGCCATCCCATAACCATCACAAAATACTCAACAAAGCCAAAGAGAAAAGCAAGCTACCCAGCCAAATAGGAACTGGCTTTCCAAAACTGAGCAAACTACCCTTCCCCTGAATCCATCTTTTCTCTACTGAATCACGATATACAGAACTGTAGTCTATTTTGCTTCACCTATATATAATTTTTGGCCTGGTGTACTTAGTTTTGGGTAGATTTCAAATGCCCTGGCTCCCCTTGTCAGAATGTGGCACACCACATTCCAGTCCTGGCATTCTGTAGGCCAACAAGTCTATAGGTCCAGTAGTTTTGTGGATGTCTGTGATACCAGAACCAATGCACCAGGGAGTTACCGAGAGCCAACTAAGAAAAAAGCTAAATTACTAATACAGTAACTCTTATCAAAATACATTTCATGAAAATGTGTTAAAAAGCAAGCAATAATTGCATAATAACTTACACTACCCCTCTTCACTTCCAGTTCATCATCAACGCAGGGCGTGAAGTCATGTAGGACAACCATCTTGCTGTCGGGCGAGAGGCCAGCCTCCTTCTCCAAGCCAACCCGCACCAGCGTCTCTATGGAAGCAGAGCCTGTGATGCGACCGAGCCCAGGAGCCCGCACCACCTTCTCCTCCCCCTCCGACACATACCCCCCTGACCCTGAGGAACAAACCCATGTTGTGAGGCAACCAATTAATTCAAATTGCATCAGACAAATGCTGATGGTACTACTGAGTAATAATTTTATAGTCAGACTCTGAACATGGGCAAACCTCAATTGAGTGTCAGGTTTAGAAAATATATCTAGTGGCTGTGTTGTGTTAGGTAGCTATTGACTAACCTCTTAAAGGAACAGAGATTGAAGGACCCACGTAAAGTAGAATAGGGCAAGAAATTGCTCAAATATAGAATTTTGAATACAATAAACACAAGCAGTACCTGCAAGATGAGTATTGTGAGGTCCCACAACAAGGGTAGAAATAGCTGCTCCTAACTCCTTATAACACAAACCACAGAAATATATATATAGGAGGGAGAGAGATGATGTGTGCGAGATGAGTAGGCAGGCTGGAAGTAAGGACTTCAGTTAAATAGACAGATTTTCTCGTATTTTAAACAAATGGAATAAACACTTGTCCCATACTGTATATAAGAACAATATTCACCATAAGGATTGTATTAATAATATTATAAAGTTAAGACAGCTGATTAGTTGTACTGAACTTCTAAATAAAATTATAATTAATACAGTACAATGGGGTTTATTCTTAACTCACAATCGGGAATCCCAGGTTTGAATCACACGCCCAACAGAAATGGTTGGGTAAGTTTCCTTTCACCTAATGCCTTTGTTTACCTAGGTACCTGGGAGTTAGACAAATAAATAAATAAATAAATATGTTTATTCAGGAAAGGTACAACAGTTGAAGGGTTGCATTCTGATAGCCCAGGTGAATGAAACGTCATTATCCATGTTTATTGTGGTTAGGAATTTCTACGACTGGGACATGGATCGGCTAATTCCTCTATACTCAAGTCGCAACCTAGGGAAGGCCTCATCTCAAATGGATACAAGCTGCATTTAGTAGAGCTCCTCCTTTATTTTGGGTGCCCAGAAGTGAGGTGGTTAAGAGCTGCTGGCTACTGCTCTGGTGATCAGTTGTTTGAGGCTTTGATAGTCCAGGTGAATGAAATACAGTAATATAAATATATAAATACAGTAATATAAATATATATATATATGTCGTACCTAGTAGCCAGAATGCACTTCTCAGCCTACTATTCAAGGCCCAATTTGCCTAATAAGCCAAGTTTTCATGAATTAATGTTTTTTCGACGACCTAACCTACCTAACCTAACCTAACCTACCTTTTTCGGTTACCTAAGCCAACCTAACCTATAGAGATAGGTTAGGTTAGGTTAGGTAGGGTTGGTTAGGTTCGGTCATATATCTACGTTAATTTTAACTACAATAAACAAAAATTGACCTCATACATAATGAAATAGGTAGCTTTATCATTTCATAAGAAAAAAATTAGAGAAAATATATTAATTTAGGAAAACTTGGCTTATTAGGCAAATCGGGCCTTGCATAGTAGGCTGAGAAGTGTGTTCTGGCTACTAGGTACGACATATATATATATATATATATATATATATATGTTGTACCTAGTAGCCAGAACGCACTTCTCAGCCTACTATGCAAGGCCCAATTTGCCTAATAAGCCAAGTTTTCCTGAATTAATATATTTTCTGTAATTTTTTTCTTATGAAATGATAAAGCTACCCATTTCATTATGTATGAGGTCAATTTTTTTTATTGGAGTTAAAATTAACGTAGATATATGACCGAACCTAACCAACCCTACCTAACCTAACCTAACCTATCTTTATAGGTTAGGTTAGGTAGCCGAAAAAGTTAGGTTAGGTTAGGTAGGTTAGGTAGTCGAAAAATAATTAATTCGTGAAAACTTGGCTTATTAGGCAAATCGGGCCTTGCATAGTAGGCTGAGAAGTGCGTTCTGGCTACTAGGTACGACATACATACATACATACATAATATATATATATATATATATATATATATATATATATATATATATATATATATATATATATATATATATATATATATATATATATATATATATATATATATATATATATATATATATATATATATGTCGTACCTAATAGCCAGAACGCACTTCTCAGCCTACTATTCAAGGCCCGATTTGCCTAATAAGCCAAGTTTTCATGAATTAATGTTTTTTCGTCTACCTAACCTACCTAACCTAACCTAACCTAGCTTTTTTTGGCTACCTAACCTAACCTTACCTATAAATATAGGTTAGGTTAGGTTAGGTAGGGTTGGTTAGGTTCGGTCATATATCTACGTTAATTTTAACTCCAATAAAAAAAAATTGACCTCATACATAGAGAAAAGGGTTGCTTTATCATTTCATAAGAAAAAAATTATAGTAAATATATTAATTCAGGAAAACTTGGCTTATTAGGCAAATCGGGCCTTGAATAGTAGGCTGAGAAGTGAGTTCTGGCTACTAGGTACGACATATATATATATATATATATTATATATATATATATATATATATATATATATATATATATATATATATATAATGTGTGTGTGTGTGTATATCACGAAAATAAACACGTGATTAAGAATGTGACAATGTCAGACCACGGAGGAAAATGAAACAGGAATTTCCTTAAGTACTTTCGTATATTAAATACATCTTCAGAAGGAATGAAACCTACCTAACCTATTCCTTCTGAAGATGTATTTAATATACGAAAGTACTTAAGGAAATTCCCGTTTCATTTTCCTCCGTGGTCTGACGTGTATGTATATATATATATATATATATATATATATATATATATATATATATATATATATATATATATATATATATATTTATATATATATACATATATTATATATATATACACTGTATTTATAAATTAGAAATACTGTATGTCTATGTGTTTAAGGTTGGAGGCCAGATGCTTGGTGCCAGCCTGAACCCAACTTTGCACCCTGATGTCTATGGGGTATATACTGTATGTGTCTAACATGGTCAGGTTGGGGTTGCCACAATTTAAAAGGGAACAGCATGCCACAGTCACATACTATATGATAAAGGATAAGTAGGGTTAGGTTAGATAAGGATACATACGATTTGGTTAGATAAGGTAGGTTAGGTTTGGTTAGATAATGATAGGTTATCATGCATATCTAATAGGAAGACTATCAGCAACCTTGCCCTAATACATTATTAATGCCAGCTCTCACATAAGTGTGATCAACAATACCACTCATCTCAAATGTGCAGCAAATGGAATATTGATGCTGCTCTTCAAAGACAATACCCCCTGTGGTGAGTTTAAGGGTAACATGATGAGTTACTTGAATTTCCAACACACTAATAAGCTAAACTAGTTACTGTAACCTAGCCTAGCCTTGAAACATATTTTAGCCTAACCTAATATATATCTTGCATGCCGAGGGCCACAACAAAAGTGGCTAATGGAATTAGCCAAGTTGGAATTGGGATGACTTATCCTGAACCAAAGAACTAAAGGTTATCAAGACAAGTTGCTACAGCTTTAACTTGCGACAATTTTCTGGACGTTTGGTTTGCTACCGTTGGTAAAGTTGTCCAGTTTAGGTTACGAGTTAGTTAGTTTAGTTAATTTATTATGCACCCCATACCCATCTTGTGGGCGGTAGTGGAAAGGGTTACAGAGGCACATAATGGGCTCAGGGACTGAACCCCACAATTCATTTAGCTAAGCCAGTTACAATCTTGATGAGCTAGTTACAAACTTTAATATAAGTCGTCACATCAACAATGGGTACGAGTAGAGGCAACGAGTGAGGTGAAATGGGGGAAAAAGACTCATTTAGTACCTCAGTTTACAGAGAATACTTTGATGAATGTATTAATACATAACTGAGAAAATGTTTTAATGTACTGCAATTATAAGTTTTCTTTGTCTTTTCCTTCTGGAGAGCACAAGTAAACTATAAGATCGTTCTGACACAAGTAAGATACTGTAAATCACGAGTGAGAGACTTGAACAGAGCAGTAAGAACCCAGCTCAGTCAAAATGCCGTTTATTTATCGCTAAAACCCTCTCAGTGCCAAGAGACTGGGTGTAGGAGAGAGAAGAGTGGAGGGAGGCGAGAGTGTGGTTGAGGGCCTCGAGCTGGAGGGTGTAGGAGGCCAGGACACACACTCACACCACACACTTCACATGATAAACATAAACACCCCGTTTGTTTACGCTCCAGCCACCCACCTCCCACACCGACCAAAGAGGGTCATTCCCTTCCTACCTATTTTAACCACATTTCTCACTATCTCTCACTAAACTTGCTGACGAAATCGCCTTGGATTTTTGCGGACTGTCACCGAGAGGAGCGCGAGAGCTCCCCCGTGCCAAAGAACACACGTATTACCTTTCTTTTTCTTGTTCCGTCGGATTCTGACTGGGCATAGGAAAGCCATCTTGCTATAGCCTGCATCAGGCCGGTGGTGCCACGTTTATGAGCGTATTGACCTCAACATCAATAAAAAACCGTCTACACTGCACCTGAGTTTTCGGGTCACTCCGCTCATTGGACGGATACGATGTATTACCATAACTGCTCTAATCCTAATTAACCCGGCCTGATTCTAAGGGGCAATTGTGATGTTAGAAATAAGTGGGTATGGGAAACGTGGCACCAGTCCGTCGCGTATCTCAGAATGAGTCCACCTCCCCCCCCCCTCTCTGATTTACCTGAGGGTCATTACCACTCTAGTGGCCTCGATGAGGACAGGAAGCCGGCGGTTTGTCAAAGATACCATTTGTCCTCATGATAAATCTCTATAATGATCTATATCTATAATGATCTCTATCTCTCCCTCTCTTTTTTTCTATAAATTCATTAAGTACTTTCGTATATTAATACATCTTCAGAAGGAGTGATTTTACAGGTCAAGTATTGGACATAAATAGGCAGGAGAGAATGGAGTGAGGTGAGGTACAATAACAAATGAATGGGAATTAGGTGGACACAAATATGAGCCGCACAAGTAATGCTGAAGGCCTATTGACCCATACGATGCAGCTCCTATCCATACATACCAACAGGCCCACACATGGATTATAATAGCATAAGATAGTAAATATTTACAATGAATTAGTGAGACAAATGTGTTCCAATGATCCTACTCAGATCGCCCTTTAATTGATCTATCAAAAATGTATCTAAGTTATATAAACCACTGCTAATGTTCAAATTACTTTCTTTTGTAATCTGTATCAAAGCAGATTCAATTAGAACATATCCACTTATAACAGAAACATAATTGAATCTGCTTTGATACAGATTACAAAAGAAAGTAATTTGAACATTAGCAGTGGTTTATATAATTTAGATCTATTTTTGATAGATCAATTAAAGGGCGATCTGAGTAGGATCATTGGAACACATTTGTCTCACTAATTCATTGTAAATATTTACTATCTTATGCTATTATAATCCATGTGTGGGCCTGTTGGTATGTATGGATAGGAGCTGCATCGTATGGGTCAATAGGCCTTCAGCATTTTTTGTGCGGCTCATATTTGTGTCCACCTAATTCCCATTCATTTGTTATTGTACCTCACCTCACTCCATTCTCTCCTGCCTATTTATGTCCAATACTTGACCTGTAAAATCAGGTTTTCACTCAGATACTTTAATTTATATTTAACTAGATGGGTTACCCAGCTGTGCCTAGGTGTCTCCCCTTTTGCACTTTCCTAACCTTCCCCCTCTTCCTCAGAAAATGTAATATTAAAAGCACTGAAAAACTTAAATTAAATAACTCTTCTGAAAACACAAGCTCTATTTCAGACACAAGTTTATGAAAATCGCAGGAGAGAAGGTCGCTATAAATGCTGATATTTACTCAAGTGTGACAATGGAGTCAAACCTAACTGACCAGTGACACTCCCATACCTGCCATATGTTATCTTGGACAGTTGGGCGAGGCCAGCCCCAAACGTCTAACTCCCAACCTCAGACACACACTATTTAATAAAGATGTTTCAGCAAAATATAATCTACTATCATATTGTTGTCAGCACCTTGACAAATTCACAAAAATGAATTCCTCAAACCAGCAACTTCATGAACAAGAGGTGACAGATTCAAGCAAAGGAAATAAATGTGCTGGAAAAATATTAGAAAGTTTGTTTGCAAATGGAGAGGTAGACGGTTGGAACAGACCAAGTGAGAAGGCGGTGGAGGCCAAAACTGTCAGCAGTTTCAAAGCGTTATACTGTACAACAAAGTGAACCGAGAAAACAGGACACCACAAGCGTAGCTCTCATCCTGTAACTACACTTTAGTAATTACCCATTGATCATCACTACCAACACTATTCATGTTCATCACTCGAAAGTCCATCTCTATAAACTTTGTTGTGTCTTTTCTAGGTCCATATATGCATGCATGCCTTATAATTTCACTTGCATGTCTTTTCTATGAGCTATATCAATGAGAACATCTGATCTGCACACCTCTTCCACCATGAAACCCACCTTGTTAATCACTGACCCATTGCTTGGCAATTTCCTGAACTTCCTTAGGAGCAAGTTCTTTCTTTACCATCTCTGGTGCTCTCTGGGTACATATACTGTACCTGGAACTGAATTATCTAGTAAGTTCCAATACCTGAACCTCGTGCTTAAATCCCAACAAATAAATCTTTTAATTACCATTTTACCATACACTTTGCCTTCTGCACTTAATAAACTTATGTCAGGGGCCTGACAGCTGAATGGACAGAGCTCAGGATTCATAGTCCTAAGGTTCCAAGTTCTATCCCAGGTGGAGGCGGAAACAAATGGGCAAAGTTTCTTTCACCCCGCTGTGCTTGTTCATCTAGCAGTAAATAGGTACCTGGGAGTTAGACAGCTGCTACGGGTTGCTTCCTGGGAATGTGCAACAAAAAGTAGGCCTGGTTGAAGACCAGGCCGCAGGGATGCTAAGCCCTGAAATCATATTAAGATAGATGTCTTTATACTAACATTTGTTTATTTTTATAGTGGTACAATCTCAGCCTTTATTCAAACATCTAGTACAGTATAACCATCCCTGCCTTCTGTAAAGTTCCTTTATCAGCTGTAATTATCAGTTACAAAAGACCATCAAAATGCTAATATTACAGTAATAATGACAGGTTTCATTAATGTCCTGAGGTTATAATCTTGGATGAAATTCTCAAAGTATTTTTGTGTAAATATTTTCACTTTACCATTACAGAGGTATATCTGCCAATAAATAAAATTCAGGAATAAAAAGGGCAAGATCTTTATTAATGGAACATTATAAGATTTTGGGAAAAATATGACTAGCAATGGCAGTACAAAACAGAAACCAGATGGAGAAACATGGTTACAATATGTACAATCAATCTGCATGAACAATGCCATTGAAATTCATGTTAGATTTAGTTCTCACTACATGTCTGTCTAAATACTGCATAGTATAAATACAATGACAAGTGCTTTAACTGAACACTTTATAATTTAAGGTAATGTGATAAATAAATACATATCAAATTAAAAAAAAGACACGCATAAACACATTACTTAAGAAAGCAATGGCTTTTATTATTACTTTTTGTCTCTTATATTCAGCTCTTACACTCAACTTTATAATCTTCCATGAGAAGTGCAGTTTCTGCAGCAACAATAATGATCTGGTTATCCATGTCATTATTTACTCCTGCCTCGGTATCAACGTTAAAGTGAAACTCCATCTTTGCATCAATGTCAGAATAAAACTTGATCTCGACATCATTATCATAATTTAACATTGCCAGTATAAAAAATACAGATTAAAGAAAATAAAAGCTTAAATAAATAAAAGCAACCTTAAAGATTTCTATCTATAGTTGTTCCAGAGATGGTTATGTTCACCCACAACAGCCAGACAGACACAACCCATCATTATTATTCACCACCAATCAAAATCATACTTTAAAAAAATTAAAATTGACTCTTGCTGGACATCCCCTCTTTCCCTCCCTTTCCCAAGGAAACCAAGTGTTGGTTGTAAAGTGACCCTCATTTATCGTGGGATACTAGGTAACTGACAGAGCTAAGTGTTAGTCTAGCCAAACATTAAGGAGATGCACCAAGTCTCTGAAACCCACCCTTGCCTATTTGGAAACCAGGATCAGAATCTGGTTCTTGGGAATTCCCCCTTGGTTGAGGAGTGATGTATTTTAGAAAAAGGTAACAAAAGCAGTACACAGAAATTGTGGTGAAGGTTTACCCATATGAGAGATGGCCAAGGCAGAGGGTTATATGCAGCATGCCGAACATCTTAGTGCATCTCCTGTGCCAGGTGAGTATGACAGGCTCACCATAGCCCGTGCTGCTTGGAACTTTTTGTTCCGAGTAGCTGAATCTAAAACAACCACCACCTTAGTGCACCATGGTAACCACAGTGATTCAGATCAGCAAATGATGACAGCATGTTGATGGTTAAGCATGAAGCAGAGGTCAGACCTCAGAGGTACTGTGCTCTCTGAGACTGCAACCATGCATAAGAGTAAAAGAGCAGACTGACAGACTGGGATCCCAGTTGACATGAGATACCACCTGATGACAGTTGGGCACATCATGGCTAGGTTGTTTACACCATGGCAATGATCCTTGCCTTGATACTTGAAGAAACAGGTACTTAATTTTCTTCAAGCAATGGCTTGCTTTGCTGTACTTATGCTTTCTGGTGAGCTTTTCTCAATCTGAGGTTTATTTCTGATCCCTAAACTTTCTTCACCTCATAGAAAGAGCCAAAATCTGGTCCTGGGGCCAGGATTTATCAAGCATTTACAAGTCTACTTATGAAACCTATACTGTACATTTTTTCTTATTCATGGAGGTTTAGTATGTATTTGTTACAGTTTATAAGCTTCAAAACTTTGTATCTGAAAAACTCTGGGGCTCATAAGCTGCTTAACCACTGCACTGCGCAACGCGCCTGACGGGTGGTGTGCAACGCAACTCGCAACACGGAGATCTTATAGGTATAGCGTATGATTCAAAACTTCTGCGGCTACATGGGGTTCACATCAGCTTCCTCAGGGCTCTTGTAAACAGATGTCATTAAAAAAAAAAAAAATCGTGGGCAACATTCCCAGGTGTGAGAGCCTCAGTACTGGGTGAGCAACCAAGGCTGGCGCATGCAGCATGAGCACACAGCACTGCTGCTCAGCTTGTGACCGCAGCATCGCCTAATAATGTTAAAATATATATGTAACTGGTATTATTTACCCCATGATAGTATTTACAGAAGAACCCGAGTGTGATAATGACTGTGTACGACGTTCAAATTTCAGTGAACCAATGCTGTTCGAGATGTTCACAGCACTAGCCACAGCACCACAGCATTATTTCATCCGTCTAGGAATCTTCAAACGACTTCTTATGTTCCTTTACAAAATAAACATGTGGTCAATTATTCATCTACGGGATTCAGTGACCAGGATTGTGGTGATAATTAGCGCTGCGCGTTGTATTGTGTTAGGAGGAAGGGAGTCGAGGTAGCGTCACTGTGTGTGACAGCCATTCTTGTTTGGGCTCACCATACTAGCTTAGTGATTTGCTATGAACACAAATGTAGATACTTATATATGACGTGTGTATATAGTGTAATAACAGCAACAGGAGTATGTTGGGAGGAGCCATTTTGGTGAGGGAGGTGGTGTCGTACTCTTCTGCTGTGTGACTTGTCATGCAGTGTATGGTGGCCACTGTGCTGTTTAGTTGTATAGTTATGGTGAATAAAACATGTAGATACTTATACATAGCGTGTGTAAAGAGTGTAATAAAAACAATAACAGTATGGTGGGAGGAGAATGTTGGCAAGTAAGGTGTTGGAGGAGTGAGGGAGGGCTGGCTGGGTGTGGCAGCTCACTTGTTTTTTGGGCTCACTATACCAACTTGGTGGTTCGTTATGGTGAACACATATGTAGATGGGTATATACAATGTGTGTGTATATAGTGTAATAACAGCAAAAGCACTGATTAATTGTAGAATATAATATATGTCACATATATGAGACCCATAATTTTGAGCATAGCAATGTTCCACACTTTGAACTATATAAATTCCACACTTTTGAATATTATAGCAAAAAAAAACGGAGAAGAAACGAATGAGAAATATCAAAATAATTCTGAAACATTATATTCGCGGCAACTACCGTCCCACGGGGTGGCAGAGTTGACTGACCCCGAGCGCTCCATTGCTCAGCGCCCATAATTTGCTCAACTTCCCAGCTCCATCATGGCTAAAATATGTCACATAAAATATATTTTTTTTTAGTTTCCCGTGATCAGAGACTGTATTTTAACAATATAAGTAGAGAAAAGTTTTTTGGCTAAGAATTTATTTCCTGTGCACAGGGAGGGTGCCATATTTGGGGCCAGAGCAGTACAGTGGTTAATGAATGTAAACTAAGCTGCCACAATTGAGGAAAGACGTACAAGTTTCATAAATGCCTGACAAATCCTGGTCCTTGTTCCCAGTAGGCAAGGGTTCCAAGACCCTGGTTCATCATCTTTGGGCTTGGCTAGACCAGCACTTAGCCCAGGGAGCTATTGATAGGGCCCTCCTGGAAAAATTGGTAATTGCTATACAAAATATTGATTAGTACATCAATATAGCATAAGTAGAGCCCAAGAAAAAACATTCATGAAAAATTAACATTATATGGAAATAAACAATATTTAGTATTATAGGTAAACTGTAAACACATCACAGCAATCTGCCTCGACACTTTCGAGCCCCACAATAGCAGTACTTGATCTTGCCAGGGACACTATCAACCTCATAGTTGTAATCCCAGGTAAGTTCTGTACCTGCTCGGATGTTAACCATGGCAAAGAATGCAACCCAGGGAAATCGTAGATCATGAGTATCCACAAAGGCGTTCTGGACAAACACATTTGGCTCGCATGAATGCTGAAAAAAAAAAAAACAATTATAAGTATACACTTTAGGTACTGCACAGAGGATAAATGCTACATATGAAGAGTAGAAAAGTCCTATCTAAACTACGTCATTTGTGAGAAATTTAAAGGAAAAGGAATTTAATGAGAGTAAAATAATTATGTGAGTAAGAGTTAGTTTTATTTGTAATAACTTGTATATACAGTATATATATATATATTGTTGTAACATATCACCTCACCCAAAATGCGGGTATAAAATGAAAGCTGTTTAAAATCATAGCATAGTAGAACTCTGTTTAGTGTTTGCAGGTTATAGTTGTGTGTGTAAACTAGTCTTTGAAAATGTAATAAGTTATTACAAAACGCGTTCAAGTGTCGCGTCAGACTAGAAATAAAAATGAATTTTGGAGAATTGATTTTTCAATTACCATCAACAGTGAAAAGAAACATAAGAAATATTGAGAAAATTCGTGTTGGAATTATTAATCTTACTTTTTCGGTCATATTTAATGATATATGTCTACAGGAAAGACTGCTACCAAAATATACTAATATATATATTGATGTACTGTACTTCATTTTGTTTAATTTGGTGCATGTTATAGTGGATACAATGGTTTTCAAAAGTTTGCTTGCCATATATTTACTGGTGTACAGTTCACATTATGAACCAAAATTATGGTTCACCTCATGGTTTTCCATAGTTGGGGGACAGAAAGCCTTGATTGTGTATAGAAAAAAAGTTTGACATATTTTGGGTGTCCATCCCAGGCCTGATATTAATGCACACACTTGAAGAAATAATTCACAAATATCATTTTGTTTTAAAGAAATAAACCAGCCAGCAATCTCGATCAATCTTTTTTTTCCATGGACTCGCTTATCGCTGGCCACTTGTACTTTTCCAGATACACAAACTAAATTATAAGGAATGAGTGGTGTATATAATGGTGCAGAAGATCTACATGATAAAATAAAACACTAGTCAGCAGAGACCCCCAGTTGGATATTTAAAATTATGAAGGAACTACTGTCGCAAAGATGGATTACTGACAGGCATTCCGAGACCTTCTGAAGTCAGATCTATGTTATATGAGCTGTGTGTTTATAATGATTTTGATCTGGGATAGTTCCAGAATCTGTTGATAAAGAGTACCGAGGGTGCGCAAATTTGTTTAACTTTGAATTATTAGCTTACATTAGTTCTACGGTATTTTTAATTGTCTTCTCATGATCCTAATTTTGTGATATAAATTATGCCCATATATGTCTTACTGCACTAATGGTAAACTACACCTTGTTTTTATAATATGTCACCTTTCTAAATGTCACTCATTTTATGTCAAAAATATAAGTTCGATTTTGATTGCTATTTGCCTGTTTAGTCCAACCATTATTGTAATTATTTGTACAAGTTGTTATGAATAAGGTTTCAGATTCTTATACCATAACAACAATGTCTACATGCTAAGCTGTTGTTGGCACTCTTATATAATAAATATACTGTAGTTTTTATGTAAACTTTCCCAATTATAAATGTACAACTGTTTATAAATAAAGCTTACGATTTTGATTGGGTTAGGCTTATTGAGGTCACCCGAGGTCAACTACTGATGACGTAGTTGTAATGTGCGTTACAGGATGTAACACACAACAATTGCCAAAGCCGCCAGCAACCGATTTACTGCTAAATGAACAGCGGCATCAGGTGAAAGGAAAAATACCAATCAGTCTTTGCCCTAACTGAGGACTGAACTGGGATCCTTAGATGTAAGTCAATGATGTAGACCACTGTGCTACCATTGTCATGTATCAAATTGCAATATTCAAATGTAAAATATCAAATTTTAATGATCAGTGTCTCATAGTTTAAACCATGAACCATCAAGGATATTCCCCATCACTTGTTGGGAAATCATTAATCATTCCCGGTTTTAAATTAAATGATAGGGAGCCGGTCGGTCGAGCGGACAGCACACTGGACTTGTGATCCTGTGGTCCTGGGTTCGATCCTAGGCGCCGGTGAGAAACAATGGGCAAAGTTTCTTTCATCCTATGCCCCTGTTACCTAGCAGTAAAATAGGTACCTGGGTGTTAGTCAGCTGCCACGGGCTGCTTCCTGGGGGTGGAGGCCTGGTCGAGGACCGGGCCGCGGGGACACTAAAGCCCCGAAATCATCTCAAGATAACCTCAAGATGGTTAAGCATTTCCAACTTTTGTATCCAAACCTTATGTAATGCTAGGTAAAATCTATTTGAACTTTTGTAGTTGATATTTATATAATATTTGTCTATTACAAAACTTGTAGATGCAGCCATTATAAATGATTCTGGTAAACCCTGTGAATTAGCTAACAAGCACCATGTAACACCACAATTGAAAATTAAATCTTTTGCAGAATGATGTAAATATCCGAGTTAAGAGCTTTTTCTGTGTGATTTTGTAAACTATTTTGTAAATTATGTAAATTTTTGTTAATAATTTTGTAAAATTATGTAAATTTTTGTTAATAATTTTGTAAAATTATGTAAATTTTTGTAAATAATTTTGCAAATTATTATTTTTTGCAATTCTATCAGATATAGTTTCTTTACATAACTGAAAAATATGAGTACAAGAATCTAATTAGGTACCAGAAATATATTTCTGAAATTGTTAAAGAATATTCATTATGGTGTTATTAATAGTTCATGTTTAAAAATTTCATGCACATGCAAGAACTCATTCTTATGAGTTGCAAACAACACATTCCACAATACTCTTACATTAAGAAAGCGGCCAATGTTGCCCGTCTGCTTGGCATCCATGATGTACACAGCCTCATCTTTTCCAAAATAATCCCGAACACTTTGGTTTGGTTTAATTTGGTTCACCGATGCCAAGAGTTGAGTTGGGGCGAAGGTTTGTGGCTGACGCTGTTGTTCATCTGCCGAAAAACACAAAAGTACAGTAGTAGGTAAAATTCAACTACAGAATTTTATGAAATGTCCTTTTCCGAGTAATCTCTCGATTGCTTTACTTTTATTTCACCATTATTTTGGAAAAAAATTGAATGCGCGGTGACAAATCCTCCCAGAAGTAAGTTAATTTTCACACTAGGAAAGATTGAGGGCTGTAGGACTACTGCCACTACAACCCACACACAACCTGGCACATTTCATCGAGGACCTTTAAAATGCTAAGACAAATTGGAAAATATTAGTCGAAACCACTTTTTTTTTTTAAAAAGGTCCAATGTAACTAACACAAGAGGTAACAGCTTCAGGCTCAAAAAGCCACAATGTAGGACAGAGAATAGGAAGTGCTTTTTTCACCCCACAGGATTATAAACCCATGGAATTGCCTTCCTGGTGAAGAAGTAAATGAAGTCAGTATTCCAGTTTAAAATTCAACTGGAAAAATCTTTTGAAAAATGGAGAACATTTGACAAGCCACCAGCTTTCTGTCCCCATTAAGGCCAGTGAGATGGTTGCCCTCAGGTAAATTCAGTAATATATATACTGTGTTCAGAAAAAAATATCCATTCATTTCATTGGTATCATCAAAAGCCCTTACATTTTGGTCTTCACAGTGAAACAAAAGACAAGCACATTTCTTAGTACCTATTTTCTAATAAATAATATGGTCTAAGTAACTGGGTATCAGGTAATAAGTGTTCCTAAGACAAATTATATTGTGATAAATATAACCAATAAGCAAAATTGCCCAAGAAATTTTGTTTAAATATAACCAATAAGCAAAATTGCCTAAGAAATTTTATTTAAGTTTAAATTTTTTTAATTTCTATTAAAAAATGGAGTCTTTCATATTTATACCATGACAAATCCCTAATAATGTCTTTAGAGTGACTTAATGAAACTCCAAACTGTATTTACATTCAGTTCATAAATAATTCCTCTCCACCATACATAAACTCTCTTGCATTTCTAAATATTACTGAATATTTTATTTTATATTAAAACAATCCTTTAAACTGGTTATGCTGAAAGTTGAATAAATTAACACAAATTTAAACGAGAAGATATGTTCCCTTCAAGAGTTTCCTCACCAGCTTCATCTTCTCCCTCATCAGACTGCTCCTCCTCTTCATCCATATTTTCTGAATTGTCTTTCTTGTCATCTGCTTTCTTGTCATCCGCTTTCTTGTCATCCGCTTTCTTGTCATCCGCTTTCTTATCATCCACTTTCTTGGCATCCAGCAACTTAGCAGCTTTTGTTTCCTTGTCTTTTGCACCCTCTTTCTTCTTGCAATTACGCTCACTATTCTTTTTCTTGGTTCCTTTGCTCGTTTCATCATCTGACACAGGTGTTGAGCCGGAGCCGCTACCTTCTTCCTTACCTGCAAGAAGCAAAATTTTTCAGTTGGAAGAATACAGTACTACACACACACACACACTCACACAATCATCAGCGACGTATGCAAGGTTGGCTAACATCAGCGCTGCCTTAAAAAACCTATGTAAGACATCATTCAGAGCCTTGTATACCACATATGTAAGAGTAATTCTGGAGAATGCAGGCCTAGTATTGAGTCCATACCTTGTCAAGCACAACAAGGTGGAAAAGACAATGCTGGAAAAAGTTCAGAAGTATGCCACTAGACTAGTCCCAGAACTAAGGCATGAATTGTGAGGAAAGACTGCGTGAATTGCACTTCACTTTGAATTGCAATTGCAAAGGCACTGCGTGAAGTGCAATTCACGCAGTGCCTTTCCTCACAACCTCGCATCCTTAATTCATGTATAAGCATTCATTCACTTCTCAACTTTGTGCTTAACAATGTCTGGAGTCGCCACTGGTGCTGCATATCCTAGTCCTAGTTTAACAGAGCTGTTTAAATTGCCTTGTAAGAGTCCTTGTTTATATTTTTAAATACCAGTGTGCCTGCTTCTTATACACAGCTGATGTTATCCTGTTTATGAGAGCTTGTTGTTATTGAAGGGATTATATCCACCCCTATACAGTAGTTTTCTTATCTTTCAACTGTTACAGATGCCTTTACCTTCTTTTGTAGATTCCTTCTGATCTCCTGTCACTTTTTCCCCATCACCATTACCTTAATTTTTTAACTTGTTGGGATTGAACTCTTAACATTCCTCCTCAGTTTTTATATTCCACTTTAACTTTGCATTGTCCACACACAAGGGCAAGTAGGCAAGTAAGACTGCACTTCCTCAGGTAGGCCATTTACATAGATTAACAATAAACCTAGGAAGACCCTGTTTGCTACCTTCCCCCAATGTTACTTCTCACAGACTGTAAATCTGCATCTTGTCTGTTAGGTGCTCCCTTGCCCAGTTCAGTGTCTTACCAGATACCCGATGCACTTGCCTCTCCATTATGTACAATATCCTTTTTATGGGGAATAATATTAAATGCTGTCTTACCATACAGGATTATGCCTATAATATAAAAATACAAATGAGAACTATATGTTTTATTTACCTTCTTTTATTTTCCCACGTTCAATGGCTGCATATATTGAGAGAAATTTTAATTTAAACTCCTTATATGATGAATGGAAACCTCATTATACTGTATAAAGTTTTCATCCACATCCTCAGACTACCATTTGACGAGCCCCTAAATTCTATTTTAGAAAGGAAGCTCCATGACTGTTTAATATATCACACTCAAAATGTATTAGATAAACTGATGTGCCTACCACCATCTGTCACTAAAATTTTAGTGTGTTTGGCACGCTCTTGAAGGCGAGCAGACTTTTCCCGCTTGGTGAATCCAGCCTTTTTAATATGAGACGGATGGTTAAAGTCATGGTCTTCTTTTGGATTGTCGACTTCATTCTCACTGTAGAAGCCATCACTCTCATTGGACTCGGACCCACCTATTGAGAAATTATTTAAAGAGAATTACAAAGGTATTGAACGGGCTTCGGCATTCAGTGTTGTGCAAGGGCTTAATGTATGAAAAGGACTCCATGTACAGAATGAGATGGCATACTGGGTCAAGGGCAGACACAGACCATCCTCCTCTACAAGATGCCCCATAATAGATACCAATACTATCACAACACACCATTACTAGTCAACACCATTATTAAACTTTGACTTTTAAACTTACTGAACAAGTATATAAACAAAAATAAGGAAATTGGAACAAATATATTTTTAAGCCATCTAAATCTCACTAAAAATGTGCATTAGTTTATCTTACCATTTTACCATTCCTTGCAATATAATTTAATAAATATACAAGAATCTTACCAATATGTCTGTCTTCTCCTGCAAAATTATTGCCAATTTCCTCATCGGGAGTAGAAGCCTCTTCCTCATATCCCTCCTTGGCATTCTCCATAACTTCAATATAATCCAACTCTGCATAATAATCATCTCCTCCCATAATCTTTCCTTCCTGGAGACGTTTAACAAGGAATTAATTACTAGAGACATTTTATCCTGCATCCCAAATTAATGTGCTGTAATTCCTGCTGTTGGGGAAGGGAAGCCTATACATAGGTTTATCAAAGCCCCACTAGGGCAACTACTGACTTTCCAGAATGCAACCCACAACAGCTGCCTAACACCCAGGTAACCATCTAACTTCTAGATGAACAGATGAATTAGGTGAAAGGAAACATGCCTAATTGTTTCTCTCCTGCCCGGGGATTGAACCAAGGTCCCTCAGTTTTGAGCCGAGGATGTAAACCACTGCGCTGCTACTGTACTAAAACATTACACCAAAACACTCAGTGGACTGCTCATGTGTTTTGTGTCAGACATCCTCAGCCGTAAAGTGTTTATGCCTCAAAATCAAAGTAAGGTAACTGCAAGATAGGAATTAAAATGTTGAGATTACAGTAGCTTAATGAAATTGGTTATCTGGGAGGGGTGTCCTCAGTGGCCCATCCCCCCTGACATGGGAGGTCCACCAGAAAGATGCATTTCATAACATTTAATGCTGAATTTTTACATCATGGAGGTAAAAGCAACTTTTAAAAGACATACAATACTGTATCTCTTTTTAGTTATAAATAAATACAAGAGGAACACTTCAAATGTTTCTCAGCACATGAAAGGAATGTATGTTTAATGAAAAAGGAAAGGGACTAAATATTTCAAATTTCAAGTCGGTTAAATTAATGTAGATCAAAGTTTAACAAACTGTACTGGTGATAATGTATGATGGTCACTAATCTGCAACTCTCCTCTTCAAAATCTAATAAAATCAGAGACTGTACCTCATTTGCTATAGTTTCGTTCAACATTCTACCAACATAGACACAGAGGAAGCCTCCTTTTGGGATGTCGTGAAGCGTTCTCACACCCCATCCTCGTCTGGCAGTCTTGAAAAGTTGAAGTTTTAGTCTGAGAGGGTGTTGGACTACACGGTTTAGACAGTGGTTGCTGCACTTGCATCTGTAATGGGAAAGTTTAATGGTATTACTGTATTCATTCTAAATCAAGATGTTACCTTACCTTGAGGTTACCTTGAGGTGCTTCCGGGGCTAAGTGTCCCCACGGCCCGGTCGTCGACCAGGCCTCCTGGTTGCTGGACTGATCAACCAGGCTGTTAGACGCGGCTGCTCGCAGCCTGACGTATGAGTCACAGCCTGGTTGATCAGGTATCAATGCTGCACTGTATTTAATTTTATTTTCTTAAATCAATATTCTGGTAATTCTCTAACTTGACGGACGCAAAAAAATTGTGTAGACATATTTAACTCTAAATTTAGACCGATATATATTTTACTTGTTATGCATTATTTAATGAGCAACTTTGCCTTTGCTACAACCAATTCTATATGTTAAGGTAATTTGCATCTTTTCCATTAAAATAATTATAGGTGAAGTGTATGTGCTCACCTTGAGTTACATTCATATATTCCACTCTGAACTTGCTCAAATAAGCGTCGGTAGTGGTAGCCAGCAGTTGAATTCTCATTACGTTCCAGGATGCGCGTGCCTTCTATGGTCAATTGCCAACACGAGCACTTCGATTTGTCCTTAAAAAAAAAAAAAAAATGTATGTTTGATTCCATCACATTGCATCAATATTTTCTCATGGATACATCAAGTTCTTGCGATTTCATTGTGCAGACATATGTAAACCAGGGAATCTAGCTCGAGAAGCTCACCTGACAGTCATCCTTACAGTCACAACAAACAAGGAACTCTGGATCCAAATTCAGCGGCACATGTTCCGTGGGCAGTCGTACATTGCAGTATATCAGCGACTGAGGAACAGCTTCGTCCAGGGAGTTCACACACGAAATTGGCACATTCTCTTCACCTCTGGACATGTCCTGAGATGATATGAAATTTTATTATTATGTAAGGTTTGTGTGTTTTGTTAATGGAATCTATTAATCATTTTATTGTATACCCATATACTAAATTCCAATCTCAGGCGCTTATAATTAACTTCTCGTTATCTTGAGATGATTTCGGGGCTTAGCGTTCCCGCGGCCCGATCCTCGACCAGGCCTCCTTTTTGTTACACACCCCCAGGAAGCAGCCCATAGTAGCTGTCTAACTACCATGTACCTATTTACTGCTAGGTAAACAGGTGCATCAGGGTGAAAGAAACATTTTGCTCATTTGTCTCCACCTCTACCAAAATATTCTGATCAAAATATCCTCCTACAAAATACTTCACCCAAAATATTTAAATTTAGTATTATGATATGGTATTCTTTTTTTTCACACTGAAAATTTGTTACCCATAGCCTAAATTCTCTAACTGTTGAAGGTTATCACACAAACAGGTACATAAATTATAACTCTCTCATTTCCCACATATGTAGAAGAGGCATCAGCCAGATAAATAATAAAAGGACGAATAAATGAAACTGCAATTTCTGAGCTTTACCTCGGTAGTCCCCTTAGCCACATGCACACAACATGTTAGGACACTCAAAATGACTCCAACTCCAGGAAGACAATATGTCTTGCAGCACCAGTGCCCAGGTCCAGCCCAGGTTCAAAGTTGAACTACTTGAGTTTCCCTAATGAGCCTCAGAGAAGAGACCTAGTGGTGTTAGACAACACAAATAACATGGAAGGTGAAAGTTAAACAATCAGTATCCTACAGAAACCTAACTGGTGGGACCTCCATAAGTGAATCTCTCGGGACTCAAAATACAGCTACTAAAACTCTGGGAAGAATTCCCAAAACAAAAGATCTAAATCAAGATGAAAGAAAGCAAAATACTTGCCCCAAACAAGGAAGGACAAGGGTAGTCATGACTGATGTATACAAATGAAAAGATTAATGTATATTGAAAATGGTACCAAAAAAGGTTCATGACAGTTGACACAGTTTATTTATTTATTTATTTATGCATATACAAGAATGTACATAAGGAATGTGAGGATACAAATATGGTAATTACAGTCTTGTAAAGCCACTAGCATGCGCAGTGTTTCGGGCAGAGCACGCGCAGCGTTTCGGGCTGCACAGTAACTGCACAGAGATATCCACAAGAAAAGCAATAGAGTATAGAACTGCCAAGGAATCATCCAAATGAAACTGTTGGTTTCACTAGGTAAAATGCAGACAAACAGTCGTGTCACCAAGGGTACCCCACCTCCCACCACTAAGGAAAAATGGTCCTTGGGTAAAGGGCCAGAGAAATGACAACTTGCTAACAATGTGAGTATGGTAAATGCAGGGTTGATTCCACAATTTTATTCTACTATTCTATATTTTGAATCTACATCATTTGGGTGATGCCTTGGCAGTTCTATACCCTACTGCTTTTCTTGTGGATATCTCTGTGCAGTTACTGTGCCGACTGTCATGAGCCTTTTGGTACCATTTTCAATATAGAAGCAAATGTAGAATCTACATTTGCTCAATATACAGTATAGAAGCAAGCCATAAAACATGAGAAATGCAATTTGCTCAAATTGTGAAAGTCTGAAAACCATGTTGTACTTTGCAAAGGAAACAGACTACCACCCAGGCAGGGTGTCTAGCATATGGTAGGCATGAAATGGAGTGTCATGCCCTGAGCGTAATAGGTATTGGTTCTGGGAGTTCTTCTACCCCCAAACCTGACCTGGGGTCAGGCTTGAAGATGTGGGTTGGATGACACAGATAAATTTTTTTCTTCTCTCTTACATGTGTACATTTAGGTACAAGAGAGTGGAGAACTGGGAAATGTGCCAAGCAAAACCGAACAGAAGCAGCAGCAAGAAGAGCTGGTAACACTCCAAGTGAGGAGTGGCTTCTTTACCATCCCTGCCTCTGCCCTCCCCCCCCCCCTCCCTCCTCTTATGTCAATCAAATACACAAGGTATTTAAACTAATCAACCACTTTATTCACATCACACACAGAATTTCCTTCTCTTTCCAAGAACATAATTTGTGATGACACATATTATTTAACAGTATTCTTTCCAACACAAAATTACAAACTTGTCTACATAAAAATAAACTTACTTCAACATTTAGTATTTTTTTAAATGGCTCCCACTCATGAGACACATCAATGTTTGTCTCGTATGAGAAGCAGTCTATCTCCAGGTTTGATTCCGTTTCTCGGAGGTACCGAAATACTTCCTCTATTGAGCGTAAGCGGCGACCACAAGGACCTACGTAACAAATTTCATTTTTGGATTGAGTCTTGCGACGCTGCTTTATGATTGTTCTGTTGGGTGAAAGAAGATTATGGATTATAATCTTAATTTCAGACTCCCAGAGAAGAGAAATTCAGCATGGGAAATGCTAAATATATTGCAAATCTACAGTATAGAGTTCTCATCCAATTCCCATTTCATCCATTACAGGATTTTCCACTAGTTAATTTTTTCCAAAATACCTTTCAGTTCTAACTAACAAATAACATTTGACAAAAAAAAATCCAAATTGACAATGTATATAGTACAAGTGTCAATACCTGTGCCAACCAAAGAGAAGAGGGTAGAGAAGAGGCGACAATCCTTTGTGTTTGTCCATACTGTCTCCTGATGCACCGAGGCACTTCGATGAACACGTATGCGGGGTTATTCTTATTATCTTTTCTAAGAAGGAATGTTTCTGTTGGGAAAAGCAAATCTTTTATCAGTCGAAGATTAAAAGAAATTTGATTATAATGTCTATGCTTGGTAATCTGAACCACAGTATATGGGGCCCACTACCATTTGAGTCGGCCACATTTGTCAGGAATGATTAAAAATTTACAAATTTGTGTTCAATAACCTGACTATTCCCACCCTTTACCCAGTTACTTCCACCATTTACTTGAAAACAATGAATGTGAATTCATTTGGTTTACCAAAATTTAGATTACCAAGCTCTTACAGTATAACTTAAAATATTCTTCATGAACTATACTGACAATATATGATAGTACAGTTTACTATGTAAAGCAATAATTATTATATATACAGCATGTGATATAATTGTAAGTTGAACTTGCTAAAGAACTTTAATCACCTTCTATGGTTAAGTACTCAATAACCCGCTACAATATGTAGTGGAACAGGTGTTTAACCCTGTCTGTTTAGGACACACACAAGTACACAGTTAATATGTTGGTTAACAATGTCAATGTTACTTTATGGAAATCAAATTAAAAACACTTTCAATAACTTTTTGGAAAACTGTGGAAAGAATAAAGAGAAAAAAGTTTATCTATAAAATGGCACATCAGTCCAGTTTGTAGATGCAATCCTTAATCAAAAGTAAATAACCAAAATTTCCACCACATCATTAGTAGATGGCCAGGCATATATCTTACCCATTATTAAAGGCATTTTACCAGTATAAACACGTATGAGACAAAGCTAGAATGGTCCCCAAGTTATAAATCACTAAGAACTCTATAACCCCACCAGGATTCGAGCCTGCATTGCCAGGCAATCACTGGTGGAGTGGTATTAGTACTGTGTAAGCCAGTGGTCAGTAGTGGTGGGCAATGGTAACAAAGAGGAGGTGGCCTAACTACTGGGGTGGATCGTGAGCTTTGTTTTATGCACTCTCTGTTGACCTTGTTGTTGTCGGTCTTGCTTTGCTTCTTTCTGGGGGCTTCATTTCTCAGTGAGGATGATCAGGTATCCCCTGCTCTCTATACCACTTTGAGGGAGCCAGGTTTTGGCCTCTGGTCTCCAGAAGGCTTTAAATGACTCACAAAAGAGATGATGGGACCTAATAGTGTGGCTAGCAACAGGGACCCACCATTCAGCCCTCTAGAAAATGTCATTACTAATGTTCTCTTTTCCAACTTACATTTGTGAAGCCCTTGGACTCTTGTTCTACTCTGAGTTGCACTTCTCTAGGCGGAGTGCCAGGTCGAGATGATGTGCTCTTGCGTGCAACGGCCCTGCGTTCCCCAGGTGCTTCTGTTGTGACAACATTAAAACAAAAATAAAACTACCGTTGAATGTAATGAAGTGCCAATTTCTTGGTGAGCCCTGGTGGCTCCCTGAAGCTACTATATACTGATACGGTACCATCTACTAGGTTGCATCAGCAGTGGAGTTCTATAGGCCTACCAGGGACCACTGGCCTATAAGATAGCCCACTCAAAGAGGCTCATGGAGAAGTGACATTTATTTTTCCCACCTAAACGGGGAGGGCAACTAGAAAGTCAGCGAGTCAAAACAAACCCCTGCTGGCTTCAAGAGAGACCAAAGTCATGAAATCTGCCTCAAGAACTCCCCCAACTATGTAAACAAACTAGTGTGAGCTTATCTGCCCCACCTTCCCCTCTTGTTTGGGGAGGGAGAGGCAGCCCACTGCCAGCTAGCATCTCAACCCACCAGTTCTCGAGCAGATGTAGGCATCTACCTGATGACCTGGGAGGGAGGGGATCCGGGAGCCACCAGGGTTGACCCAGAAATTGACATTTCATTGAATTCAATTCTGGTTTGCTGTGGGAAGCCTCTTGTGGTCCCCTGAACTCCCCAGAACAGAGAAAGTACCATAGGATTTATGACAAAGAAGAGACCCCTGGCTAAGAGACATGACCCAAAGCCACACAAAGGTGCCAAGTCCAGGAACACTTGACAAGATACCAGGCTGCCAAACCCGGTTCAAGCTCAAAAAACCCCGCCCCCAAATATCAGCCCAGGAGATGTTCGCCAACAGAGCAGCATACTTTCTAACATCATGGAATCACCACTCCCTGTGTATCTTTGAGTGGGCCAGGTTCTGGCACTGGTCCCCAGTAGGCCTATAGGACTTCATTGTTGATGGGACCTAGTAAATGGTAACATATCAGTATATAGTACCTTCAGGGAGATGCAAGGGGCTCCCCCAGAAACATAAAAAATGCTTCGTTCACTTTGAGTGGCCTCATTTCTTTCCTGATCTTTGTTTAATAGACAGACAGTATATGTAGAAGACATTTGTAGAAGTGCTTTAACCGTAGCCCAAGAATTATGTATGGTAGTCGAGCTGGCACTGAGAGGCAAGAGTGTGCTTGTTTAATTACCAAAGTGTAGAGGCAAGATGAGAGCTATGCTCATGGTGTTCCATCTTGCCTATAACCTTTGTCATATGAAGATTTGAAACTACTGGTTTTGGCATGCACGTCCTCCCTTAAATTGTGCTATGTACAACTCTGTGTGTACTTGCCTATTTATGCCTGCAGGATCAAGCATTAACTCTTGGACCCCACCTTTCTAGCTGCCAGTTGTCTAAAGCAATGGCTCTTGGCCTATTTTCCTATCATATCTATTTGTAAAATTATGAATGAAGTTTGTTTCTGCAATCTGTTCCTTTAGTTCATTCCATTTTCCCACTACTCTTATACTAAATGAAAATGTTCTAACATCTCTATGACTCGTCTGAGTCTCAAGTTTCCACTCATGGCCCCTTGTTCTATTGGTATTCATTTTGAACATTTCCTCTATTTCCACTCTGTCAATCCTATTAAATATTTAGGAATATTTAACACTGGAGATAACACTGAGATACTGAAGGAACTAAACGTAGGTTTAGTTCCTTCAGTATCTCTTCATATATCCCATCCCTTGCAATTTTGGAACAAGCCTCGTCACAAACTTCTGAACCTTTTCAAGTTTACTTGTGCATTTCTTTAGATGAGGGCTCCACCACCCTAGACCACTACACCAGGACTCGGTACAGGCAATGCAACCTGAGATTCAGCTGAATCCACTAGGAGTCCTGAGGGTCCCAATTGAAGCCCAAATCAGGAGTTTCACACATTGCCCCCCATGCTCTCTGGCTTGTGGTCAAGTAGTTCACCTCCAAACACTTCTCGTCAAATGTATTTAAAATCATTGCTCTGCTACTCTTATGACTCATGTACTCATTTCTTTAGTGCCTCGATGTTGACTTGCATGTTTGGTTTTCTGTACTTTCTGTACAGCTGCATTGGGAGATGAAAACTGCACTGGCATAAACTGGAGTTCACAATGTCCCATGGGGGAGTGGGAGCCAGGAATGTGTTTATCTAATTCTCCAACTTGTTCATTAATACTACATAACTATTCCACAATTATACATTAGGTTTAAAAATTTCTGCTGTTAGAATCTAGTGATGTACACTAGCATTCTTTCTAGTGAAAGAGACTAAGGCAGATATATTTAAGCAGCAGCAGCTGATCTAATTAATAGTTACACTAAAACCATGATTTTTTTTTAATAAAATATTATACAATATATGTACACAAAACTGCATAATGGATGAGCAAAGCAGCTTCTAATATATTCTTGTTAATATTTTTAAACAATCATTACAATAATTTTATTATCCATTAAAGAATATTGTTTGTTGGTTTACCTATATAAATGGAGATAATTGCCATTTGCTTGAAGTAAATATATAATTAATAAAAAGCATAAGATAATTAGTACTGGTTAGATTCAGTTTGCCAAATGCATTCACGGGCAAAATCAGCAAGTTTGTTATATCTTGTTGATGTCGTCACTATTATTAACAAATAAGAACCTAAGAATCAAGGATACTGCAGAAGGCCTATTGGCCTATACGAGGCAACTCCTATTTATATCCACCTAAAGGTTCATATATATGTCAACCTATGGTTGAAACACTCCTTCGATCCCAGGTCTGTTATATTACTCAGTAATTTGTTCCATAAACCAACAAGCCAGACTATCTAGGTCTTTTCCTAAATTTAGGGAAGACTTAGGGAAGACTTTAGGGAAGACTTACTGGATGGCAAATAAATGCATTTATTGACAACATCAAGTAATTGCACTAATTTAATTTAATTTAAGTAATTTGCTGATGCCGTCACTATTGTTAAAGTTTTTAGCTGGTTTATGTTCCTTTATTTGCTCAAGGAAACAAATTATAAATCTAATTTATAATTTGCTCAATTATAAATAGGTTTTCACTTATTTATAAGCTGCACATAACCCATTAAATGTTTTAGCAAATGTTTTAAGGCTTGTTTATGTCGACAACATTTGAGGATGAAGAAGAAATTATAGAAGAAAAAAAATTAAATGTAAGAATTATATAGAATATTCTACAGTCTATTACTAGTACAGTACTGCAAAGAAAACAATTTGTGTAAAAAGACAATTGCATTAATCATAAAATTAATTTTTTTAAATTAATACAAAATTATGAAAAAAAAGCATTGAATGTAATGAAACACTATTTTCTGGGCAAGACCCTCCGGCTCCCCGGAGCTATACCAGGCGGATGTGTATATATTAGACCATGGCAACAGTCAATCGATGGAGTTCTAGGACTACCGGGGACCACAAGCCAGAACCTGGCCGCCTCAGAGAGGCAAGAGGAGCAATGGCCTATAGACACCCCCGTCATGTAGTTAGAAGCAGTCTATGTCTGCCATCTACCAAGTCAGGCACCCAGAAAGGTAGGAATCCCGAAACAAACTACAGACGATTAAACATTGCAAACCGAAAGCCAGATAAGCAAGCAGAACTCCCCAATCAGAAAACAAGCAAACAAGCATGATGTCACCACAATCACTGCGTTGCTGTCTGCACAACTCCCCTCGACCTGGGAAGGGAAAGAAGTGTTTCCCCAGACCTTCCGCGCCAGCTACCCAACCCCAGTTCTGAGGCTGTTGTGTTAGGTGGCGGTTGATCGACTCTGGTTTCAATCCTTGAGTAGGGCTGTGCAGTGTGGTGCTTTGCTGCAGTGTAGTGGTGTGCGAGCCAGGTGTTATTCCAGAAGTACAGAGGCTGCATGCACCTAGGGTTTTCTTCCCTAGGTGCACTGTAAGTACTGCCCTTGCAGTTTGGGGTCATCTTCCACAAACTGCAGACAGATTGCTTCCAACTACTGTACAGTGGAACCTCGGCTTTTGTATTTTTCGGTACTTGAGCTCAATTTCTTCAAAAAATTTGATTCGGTACTCATTGTTTGCCTCGGTGTTCGGAGTTTGTTTATACACGTACGGGTCCAACGTGGACGGTTTACCAGCGTCCTGCCGAGGTGACGACTGCGATTGAATTCTTTGTGAAGTATTTCATTGTTTTGGGGCCTTTTTTTAGTTTCTGAACAAAAAATTATTATATATCATGCCATGGGTTCCAAGAAAGTAAGTGGTAAAGTTCAACCTAAGAAAATAGTTGCGAGGATGATGATAGAGGGAAACAAGAGATCATTCTCAGTGAGACAATGTGATGTCTCACTACAGACAAGTGTTAAAACATAGGGAAAAACAAGTGTCCATAAACAGACTCTTAGTAAGACGAGCAAGCAGTGAGCCACAACCAGGTCCTAGTGGTATGCCTGCAAAATGTAAGAGAGTACCCCAGAATTGTAATCACTGTCTGACGTTATAATGGAAGCGGACTCCTCTTCCAAACACTAACACCTCTGAACAAATCCACAAGGGCTGTGATGAGGATTCGAACCTATGCACGGGATGTTCCCAGATGTGTCTTAATCAACTGTACCACGACATGGTAAAAGAATAAATTGCCATCTTTTGATATATAACACTATTGTGATTTCTGTGTGTACTAACACCTCTCCTCCTCATTGTCTTCCATACGCCAACAAGAGTCCTCCATAAAGGTATGGCACCTATGAGTGATTTTCTGTATAAACTGTATTCTTTAGTTAATATTTTTGGGGGTGTGGAACGGATTAATTCAATTTACATTGCAGTATTTCTTATTGGAAAATTCAGTTCGATTATTGTATTTTCAGTTTTCGAACCGTCTCTGGGAATGGATTAAATTAGAAAACGGAGGTACCACTGTACATGGGGGTGTCTATAGGCCATTGCACCTCGTGCCTCTCTGAGGAGACCAGGTTCTGGCTCGTGGTCCCCAGTAGGTTTATACTTCCATCGATTGACTGTTGTCACGGTCTAATATACACACATCAGCCTGGTATAGCTCCGCGGAGCCGGAGGGGCTCTCCACAGAAAACAAACAAAAATATAAAATAATTTTTACCAAAGGCATCAAACAGCTGGGAAATGTTTTATTCCAACACTTAACTCAGAGATGATATCCACTTACCAATGGCTGATGCTTCTGGATACTTACCAGTCATACTAGACTCAATATCTTGCTCTTGGCCAAATGTTCCATACTCTACCACAGCCTGCAATTAAAGCACTATCTGATACTCAACGTCTGCAAGCAAAATTCATACTAATAAAAACGGTAATCACAAGTAATGGAACATTGGAAAAGTTCAATGGGTGGAAGATTATATTGAAGTTAGAATAAAGTGTCACTGCCAGTATGATATCTACATGAACCAGTCAAGGGAAATAAAAGGTGTATAAGCTAATAAATACCATTGCACTATAGCAATATTCCTAGAAATTATAGTTCTATTAATTTAAATGTGCACTGTATAGCTTTGGCAAAGTTCACTAAATTCCACTGGAAACTATGGAAAGACATGCTTATACAAATTTATTATGACAGGCAAATTAAGATGGACTCATTATCATATACATATTCTAAAACACACATCTTAGACACACGTCTTCCCAAAGCTGGCCTGAATGCTACCTTGTACACATTTGCAAATCTTCCAAACACTCACTCTTCCGGGAAGAGCTGCTGTACGTCTACGGATAGTCCTGAGGGGCTGCTCAGCTTGAGCTTGGATATTCAACTTCTTGTTGAAAAGTGGGCTTAGTCGTGTTGATCCTCTGTAGATCCATTCAGAACGTCCGTCCAAGGGGAAGAACATTTTGACAAGTGATCCATCAACTTCTTTCACCTGTGCTTTCCACCATCTCCCTGTTTTGATGACAAATTAATAGCAATGTTAATGTCAATAGAAATATTATGACTCCACATAGCAAGCAGGTGGTCAGAAACACAAAAATGTAAGGAAAGTAAATGTTTTCATGTAATGTGAGCATTTTTATTTTTTCCACAATACAGTCTTACTGTTCACCTCTGAGTGCACGCTTCTACATACACTACGGCTGAACAAATATTTCTCCAAATTTCAAATGTCTCTTCCTAAATCAATAACCATGAACCAACAATAACTGTTCTCAACATTCATATGGTATACATATATGAATATTCTATGTATATTTTACACAACACAAATATATATAGACATTTAGACATATACACACAGACAGTATACATGTCAAAGCTAATAACTAGAGTTACCTAACAGTTTCCTTAAATATAAAATGTTTCAAATATTTTATCATAAGTACTGATAAGTTATTTCCATTTTAATTAATAATTTTTTTAATTGGGCCAAAACTAACTTAAGACACACGTAATTAGGTAATTAGCAGAGCAGCAGAATAGGATTGTTTAATTCTGAGTAATGACAAATATAGAATGTGGCACACAAGGATGAAAGATTAAGTTTATTTTTCTTAATAAATTAAAATGCAGAACAGGTATATTTCTTATTAGTATTATACAATATATGTAATACTTTAAGGAATAAAGATAACAAAGACAGGATGCATAGCAAAATTAATCCCCTAATCTTTTTCCAAATATATAATTATTCCCTGAAAACTGGGCTAATTATAAATAATAAACTCCCGTGTGAACAATATAAAGATACCAACCATTCCATTCTGTCTTGACGTAGTTCCACTTCTGAAGGCGCACCATTGGCCGCTCAGGGTACATTTGTAAATATTCCTTGATAAACTCTCTGGAATCAGAGGACACATCCTCCCAAGGGCAAACAGAGCTTTCCGTCACAACACGGATGTCGTGGTGGAGCACGTACTGGGCATATCCGTCGTCGAAAAAGATTAAATATCTGTAAAAATATGAAATGTATTTAGTTTTGTGATGAGGCATTTTCAAATACCCTTTTTAACAACAAATCACAAAGGCTCAGACAAATTCTTTAAACATCATGGTAACTACATATTGACAACCTTTTCCACACAACTCATTATATAGGTTATGCAAATTATTTAAATGAAAATGATACTGACAAACTTTTCTCTCTTTGTAGCACAGGATAATTAGTTAGTGATAACATTATGACTTGTTTACCTCTTTATTGCACAGGGCAGTGTGTGAATAATTTATTTGGTTATCTGTAGATAGCTTGTGGGTTTACCACTGACAATTAGCATGATCTGAACTATGGTTTAATGTATTTATAAAATAACTGATGTTATGAAATACCCTTAACTTACAAATCACTTTCAATATATGTATGATGTACAATACAAAACTGTGTATTGACAAAATATTTTTGAAAAAACAGGTGTGTCCTATACGCTAAAAAACACGGTAACTTGGTAAATGACTTGCAAGATTTCCAAAAGGTCAGGGTAAAACAAATGTTCAATAAAAGAAATTACCTGCATTTGTTAGCAACTGTAGGAATTACCAGCAATTGTTAGCAGTTGCAGAAGTTACCTGTATTTGTTAGCAGCTGTAGGAATCTCAGCCACTACACCCACGTAAAAGGAGCCAGATATTGTAGTATTTTTGGGGTCATCATCTCTATACTTTGCAATGACACGAGTACCAACCGGAATACGAGTAGCACATGGATTTATATATGCCAGCTGCCTCCCTGGCATGATTCGAGGAAGCCCCGAGCCTTTGGCATTACGATTGTACCGAATCTTGTATGTTGTGTTCTGAAGCAAATGTAAAGATATATCAAGATCCATTTCCAAATAGGCTCTTATATTAAAATAAAAATACTGTAATATTAAAAGCAAAGACTTGGTAAAATAAACTGTCAGGTACTAAAAATAAAGAAATTTACTGTAATCCGAGAGAACGCTTTATGCTAATATCTAGTGGTACGATGACACTGGTGAATGGATGTGAAAGTGATGAATGTATGTAAAGTTTTGAGTTACTCTAGTCACAGCCTAAGTACAAAAAAAAGGACAGCAGGAGAGATGATTAGTACGAACCTTAGCTTCTCGTCTTTCCACTTCAATAACTTGTGCCTGTACCCAGCGGGCAAAGAGGGAATACTTCATCGAGTACACCAACTCATTGGGTTGCAGCTCCCATCTATTTAATGGTCCAACTGGGGGTAAATTCTCATTTGGAACAAAGACGGAGGGTTCTGCAATCACTTCCCCAGACTGTAAATTAAAAATGACAATCACCAGAACGGACTCACATGATAAATGATTACATTACAAAACTATTCTGCTTGAAATTTATTCCTAACATGAACAAATTTCCTAAAGTTTGACAATATTAAAGGAACTAGGGGCCAGAACTGCAATGATGTTAATGTTACTGTTTATAAACTTACAAGAATGAAAAAAGTCAACAGTAAATGTTGAACAATATCAAGAGCTTGGTAATTTACCACACATTAAAAATTGGTTCAATATGTTCTTAAACTTTTCATTCAGGTAAAAAGAATACCCAATTTAGAGCACTTACCAAATAAACTGAGGGAATATCTGCAAAATGGCATTACAGTGTATAAAAATGTCAAGAAACTAAAATTAATGACCAAGGCATGTGGATAATTATTTCCACTATTCATAAAAATAAAAAATTTATTCAATTAATATCAGTAATTTATAGTATTAGTTACACAGACTTTCCAGGACACTGGTATGAGAATACCTAAGCATACGTGACTTGCTACATTACATGCAACAACATTTCCTAGGTAATGGATTCCCAAAAATATGCATGATAAATGCATAAAAAATTAGATTTGCTGTTTCTTACCTAAATTAATTTAAATCATTATTGCAGTGTAACTATGATTATCACCAAGATAATTTCAAGTTGTGTTACACATTAAATCAAGAATTAAATCAAGAAACAAAAGAACAAAGAATACATGGTAATCACTCATTTGCTGCTGTTAAAACCTCCTAGTATGGTTGCCCTGCACGTTGAAACATTGGATGGTGATGTGCCAGACAATCGTCCTCATCTGTTTACCAAGGGCCTACAAGGAAAGTGCAAAGACTCGGTCTTTTTTTTCAAGATGGGGAACGGTTGCTGGAGGCCTGAGGAAGCAAATGTGAGCCCCTTGGGTGTGAGGGAGTTTTAAATTTTATGATAGGCTAAAAACAACACTGGTTGTGGTGCACAGTTGAAGGGTTAAGCAGCAGGACAACAAAATATTCATGGGAAGATGAATATTGAGTGTACAGAAGTTAAGATCAAATCATATTCTCCACCAGTCTCCGTGGTGTAGTGGTAAGACACTCGCCTGGCGTTCCGCGAGCGCTTTGTCATGGGTTCGTATCCTGGCCGGGGAGGACTTACTGGGCGCAAATCCTTAACTGTAGCCTCTGTTTAACTCAACAGTAAAATGGGTACTTGGTTGTAAAAATGATTCTCCGCGGCAGGGGATCGTATTCCAGGGACCTGCCCGAAACGCTAGGCGTACTAGTAGCTGTACAAGAATGTAACAACTCTTGTATATATCTCAAAAAAAAAATAAATAAATAAATAAATAAATAAATAAATAAATAAATAAAATAAAATAAAATATTCTAATAGACCGAGATATGCAATAATACCTGTGCAGAATATTGCCACAGCTAACCAGCAGCTTATTAATTGATAATTTTTGTGGGTATTGCCGGAACTGATAACTGGCTCCGCATTACAAACCAAGTTGGTGATGACTTTACCAATACTAAAACTTTTCACAAGTGGACTGCACAATGGGACAAGGATTTAATTCAACTAAGTTTTTCCTATATTTATCAATCACTTTAATGACTTATATAAGTAAATAATTCCTAATGAAATGTTTTGGGAGCTGTGTTAGCACTACTTGTCTAGATTTGTTTCCATTTATGTTCTTGGGACATTAGGCTATATTAATGATTTAATAGTTTTCTTTACATTTTTGTTATCAGAATTAACTATTTAATTGAGTGAACAAGTTCATCATTAGTTGTCTTATAATTTTCTCCATCTGGAGATGGTCCTTCAAAGTTGCATTGCAAACCAATTTACACTTCTCTGTATTTCTGGTCCTTTGACCTCACATAACTAGAATTTATAAATGCTAACTGACACTAGAAGTGTATACCATAAAAACCTGACAGTAGTGGTCCTTCTTATCTGGAGGACCACTATTGTGGGGTTAGTTAGTAAAGTCCCACACATCCAATGGTAACTTACACCATCCTGCTGCACAATGGTACTTGATGGTCCAATATCCAGAGCTGGTTGCCACTGTAATAAAAACAATGAAAGTCTATTACAAATACAGCAACATATGTTAATTAAAGATGTATACAGAAACTTACAAAAATATTCCTACTTTAGTATACAAAAAAGCTAACATTGAATGTAATGAAATACCTTTCAGGTAGGTCCCTGATGCTTGCTATCTGGCAAGCTCCACCCAATTCAAACCACACCAAACCTTTATGACACACACACACACTCATACACACACTAAGTGAAAAGGTGGTGGAGGCCAAAACCATCAGTAGATTCAAAGCGTTATATGACAGAGTGCTGGGAAGATGGGACACCATGAGCACAGCTCACAACCTGTAACTACACTCTTTTCAATCTGGTTTGTGTCTCTGAGAGGCTGCAGGATCCGTGTGAGGTCAGTGGAACTCCCGGTTGCAATTCTTTTACCATGTCGTGGCCAAGTTGACTAAGGCAGCGTCTGGGATCATCCCAGGCTAAGTTCGAACCCTCATCACGGCCCATGTGGATTTGTTCATTTGATGCATCATGCTATTGTGATTTATGTGTGTATAGGGTGGACAATGTCTGGAGGAGGGTAAGGGGTGGTAATGTCTGGAGGAGTGTAAGGGAACTGAATGTCTGGAAGCATCTTCTAACTTGTACCAGTGCTAACTTCTGGGAAAGTTAGTAGTAGTAGTGAACAAAATAAATGTATTGAGAATAATTTTCTTTCATAAATTACAAATTTACAAGTATTATGTACTAACCATAATTTCTGGACGGAAGTTATTGTAGAAATCCTTCCGAACTTTATCAAGTTCTCCTTCAATCTTTGAGTACTCCTCTGTATGAAGATTCTCAAAGCCCTCTGAAAGTTTAATATAACAATACTAACTAAACAGCAGTTGTGGTGGGTGATACATGATGAACAGAAGATTATGTAAATAAAAATTACAACATTATCTTGGTGTCTGCCCTATCTCTTCCCCCCTGTTTATACGTCCCAGAGACCTTAACCATTAAAGCCTGCAGCTATTTTAAAGTACTACATTGAGGTGTGTATGACTAAAAATAGTTAACAAATCAAATGGGGAAAAATTGCATATGACACTTGAAGCAGTGCAATGGTTAACAAGGGTAACTCTCCCTTTTCACAATGATCTATCATTCATTTAGTTAACCATTATGAAAAAAAAAATTACAGGTGGTAAATAACGGCACAAGTAACTAGTGGGGAGGGCCGAGGGCAAGGATTGGACTGAAGGTCAGCAAAGCTCATCAGATACAGAAGACTGAAGAACTGTAATCTCTGGATTATCAGAGCAGTGGTTGGATAGCCACCTAGAGAACTTATCTGAACTAGACACTAGTTCCTCACTCTGAAGATTCACATAATCAAGAAACAGTTACATAGTGGAGAGAAAAATTGTCTCCTACCTTACTTAAATTAACATTTCTTCCTAATATCCAATTTTAGCTTATCAGAAACCTAATGTGACTTAAGAATATAAAGGAACAGCAATTAGCTCTCTTGTTTTATCAGCTGGCAAAATAATATAATCCACTACTGTAATTAATCACTCACAGTCCACTGTGATATCTTCAGATAGCTGGACATTTTCCATCTCGATTTATAACAAACTTTTTCTTATTACAAATACTGTAATATAATGTGTGACTAGAGCATAACTGTACCTTGTACAGCCAAGAGTCGCTCCTCCAAATGCTTGACGCCTTCAGTAATTTGTCTGTCCAAGCCCAAATCGACGATTAGGTCGGACATAGCCTCCTCCAGGGTCTTGCCATCATCGAATTCATATTCAATGTCTGTTTCCGCACTACTGGAATTTTCTGCATCAAATATGAATGGTGAACACTGATGAGTGAAGCTGCACTATCAACACAAAGCTATAACAGAAAATTTTACAAATCCCTAATTTACAAAACACATTAATTGAAATAGAGTATTTAAAGAAATGTGACTTGAGCGACAACAAATATATTGCTAAGAAAATGGTAATTTGGCAAAATTATATCCATGAGCAATGTACCAAGATTTGTTGAATGAGATCAATTTAATGGATGACTAAAGTTATTTGCTCTTAATTAGGGCACAAGCAGGCTATATCAATGTTAAAATGAGACATGAAGGAAAGGATAAGGTGTTGAACATTATCAAATACTCCTTTCTAAGCCAGAGCCTATATGGTGCACCAGGACCCAAATCACCCACCTGGCTTTCAACAACCTTGTCCCTCATCTTGACAGGGATCTTTGCAAATTGTCTCAAGGAAATTAGAGAAGAGAGTCAGAGGTAAGTTCCTTAATCTGAAGAGGAGTGAAACTTCTCTCGAAAAGGCATCAAAGATTGAGGAAAGATGTACACGTTCGTAAGTACTTGAGTAACTGCTTCATGAATCTAGCCCCCTGGATCATCCAAAAGGGAAGATCCCAAAATAGCCAATCTCTGAATCTTGGATGGACTAGTACATGTCAGTTTTACAATAAACCTAAAACAATACAGTATAACTATTTTCAAATCCACAAAGAACTTCAACTTTCTTCACTGTCCGAATACTGTACCAGCATCTATACCATAAAAACCTGTCAGGTGGCAACAAACACTTCACACAGCAAAAGGGTTCATAGCCCCGTTAGAAAAGTAGAGGTGCAATAGGTATGCTGAGAGATCTCTGTAAATATCAAGGGCACATGACTTTTCAACACTCATCCTCTGAACATAAGAGACATAACTAGCTGACCTCATGTGGTGTTCAAAAGAGAACTTGATAAACACCTCTAAAGGATACCTGATCAACCAGGATGTGATTCATAAATCAGGCTGCAAGCAGCTGTGTTTAACAGCCTGGTTGACCAGACCACCAACCAGGAGACCTGGGGCCAGATTCACGAAGCAGTTACGCAAATACTTAAGAACGTTTACATCTTTTCTCAATCTTTGACAGCTTTGGTTACATTTATTAAACAGTTTACAAGCATGAAAATTTCCCAATAAACTGTTGTTATTGTTATAAACAGCCTCCTGGCTGTTTATGAGTGCTTTTGAGTATCGTTAGCCTTTAGGACAGAAGTGCATTTGATGCACAACACAATTATGAAGAAATATTTCCACATTTACAAAACTATTCAATGAAACAAATAAAATAAAAATTATTTACATTTTTTATTTATTAAAAATCCCTATGAACTACACTTGTATATTTTGCTTTGATGTTTTGCAAGCTTGCAATCATCAACAATGTATAAGTTAAGAGATTTTCCTCATCATCAAAACATTATTCAATGGTTCATTCTGCTTGGCTATATTTTGAAATCTTTAAAATCTTAAAGCTTCTATATACTGTACCTATCTTGAGGTTATCTTGAGATGATTTCGGGGCTTTTTTAGTGTCCCCGCAGCCCAGTCCTTGACCAGGCCTCCACCCCCAGAAAGCAGCCTGTGACAGCTGACTAACACCCAGGTACCTATTTTACTGCTAGGTAACAGGGGCATAGGGTGAAAGAAACTCTGCCCAATGTTTCTCGCCGGCGCCTGGGATCGAACCCAGGATCACAAGTCCAGCGTGCTGTCCGCTCGGCCGACCGGCTCCCTAGGCTTAATTCCGTGCAAACATACAAGACATACTTACTGTCAGAGGGATCTGAATCTGAATCCGTGAGAACAACTGTTGTCTTTGGGGGAGGTAATTTCTCTGCCAGGAGCAGCCGTCTTGAGCGTAAAGTATCGACCAAATAATCCTGCTGAGACTTGGCCTCCCGCAGACAGGTTATACATACTCTCTTTTTCCTGTAATAAACCAAAATATCAGAGTAAAATATATAGCAACATTTAACCGAATATTCAGCCATTTATATAACGTAAACTGTTTGTACACCATTAACCACACTTTTCGGGTCACTCTTGTATTTATGTTTGTCTCATGAATAAATTAGATTGCAAACTTGATACACAAGAAATGGTTAAGAGTACAGTATATATTTCTAGTAAACAAAAGCTCTTTTTTTATTATATTTAAAATAATAAAAGACAGCACAGTACTATAAATATTAACATTAACAAAAAATTAACCATAACAATTTTAATTTACAGATTGTCCATTCTTTTGTAAATAGAAATTTAACAAGCATTTTACTGACAACAAACTAAAAACACTCACTTCGGATATGAAAGTACTCCAAAGTATCTACGGACAAAATCTTCAGCACGAATCAAATCCTTCTCTGCACGGCAGTCAGAATTGAGGCAGCGAAAGGGTCGCTTCACACCCCCAGGCCCTTTCTTTCTGTGGACTTCCTCTATCACAATCTGAAGCCCCCCCAAAATATATAAATTTTTGGTGAGTACTGTGACAAGCAAAAATAAGTTCAATTAAATTTGTTATAAATGGTGCCAAAAAGTATTGGGTAAGGAACATTAAAGTTATTTATAAATATGCAGTTCAGAGTAGTACAACCATTTGCTTTAACATTCTGGGAAGTTTTGTTGCATATCCAGAGACAGTTAGAGCTGCTTATGGGTCATGCGATCTTGCTTGCTTCCCTGTGACTTGCAGCCTTGGTTCCCAGTCTTTCTTATGAATTGTCCCTATCCAGTCAATAGTTCTATTTGAACCATTCCTAACTTTGGTCTGATCTTCACAAGTGGAGCTTTTAGGGCAGTTCTCTAATGCAGAGGTTCAGGAAACTGTTATTTAAACACATCAGGGATCCTCCAGTAATATGAGGCGAATTAGTAGTCTCGCAAAATGTTCATTGCCTTTATATATGTCTCTTATTTCTTAGCATTCTTGACATGATTGTTTCAGGCTTGGTGTCTCAAGTCTAATACTACTGCTTCATATCAGGCAGACAGAATATTTCTACGTTTCCAAATATAGTACGTACATTGATATGAGTCTTGCATGCTGAATTCTGCAAGATTTTCTTCCAGAAATAATAGCGGAACAATAATATGGTGCACAGCTTTTGCTGATCTACTAAACAAGAGAGCATAAACAGCTGATTTTAGACCGAGATTAATAAACCTTTCTTAGTGAACTTGTCGTGTATCTAATACACACCACTGGTAACCTGAGTAAAACCTTTAAGTTCCAACTAGAAGTTGCCTGAACTACTACTATATATGACTGCTTAAAGAACACAACCTTAAGTCCCTACAAGCAACCTAAGTAGGAAAATTTGCCAGTCTCTCAATAGAGAACTAGCCATTGGTAATTCCCAGTAAATACGCACAGGCCCTGCCAACTTGATACTGACTCAGTCAGAATACAGTATATGGCTTCTGGGCTGTTGCAAGGCCTACCTTGCAACAGCAATGCCAACTGGTGGGGTCAAGGTACTGTACGGACGTTTAGATTGACAGACTGAAGTTTTGCCATTTCCTTGAAGATCATGCACATAACATCACTGGAATGTATTTCTGGTAGGCCTGATAACACAGTCCTTCTTAATATCTGCTATCCTGGCCAGAAGTCAGTACATAGCCCATGGTGATTTCCAACACCTTTATATAGTCCTGCAAGGACACTATGACCTAGTGTACATAAATATTCCCTTGCAGAATCAATTCTATATAAAGCCTGTTCATGCTTGGCAATAACAGTATCTTGATACAGACCAGCACTATAGGTTAGGCAGTGACAACATAATACAATACAGCTCAGAAAACCACACAAATATACAGTACTGTACTGTACTGAATGTCTTACAACTTCAGAGGTACTACATATAATCAAATATTTACACAGGTATTCATGTGTATAGTACTGTACTTACATCATCATCCGAGAGGTCAATTATTTCCGCCATGGTGCTGGTGTTGCTTAAATTGTAGTGTGTGTTATCTGAAAATAAAAATCTTTATTTCCCAAATCTTTGTAAAGCCTTGACTAATAAAAGAGAAAGAATAAATAGTCCCTTAACATCTGACTACTTGAAATAAGATTATTGTTGTTACATAATACAACGTGCATGTATGCATATACAGTACTATATGTACACTCTGAAACACTGGGGGAGCTAGGTCTTGCATTACACAAGAGGTGGGAAGGATGATACATGATTGTGATGTTTAAAACCCTAAGGAAACTTATTGACAAAGTACAGTAAGTTAAAATGAAATGTTTAGCACTTGCAACAACAGAACACAAGAACACTGATGGAAGCTAGAAACACACAAGAGCCATAGGAATGTCGGCAAACATTCCTTTAGCTAAAAACAAAGAGAGAAATAGAATGAAATAGGGAGGAGGTTATCATGCCATATACTATACATACATTTAAACATTTATATGATTAAACTCTATTGGGTCGAACTATTGCAGAGAGGATGGTAAAGCAGTGGAATGAGCTTGATGCAGTAATAATAAATGTAAATTACACTCATAGCTCCAAAAGCAGTGAAATGAGCTTGATGCAATAATAATAAATGTAAATTACACTCACAGCTCCAAAAGCAGGTATACTGGAATGTTCGGAGATAAAAATGCACCAGGAAATATTGCTAATAGGTGGGACTCGAGAGTTAAGACCTCATTTTGAGTAAACAATCCGGTAACCATAATATGTAAATTACAGCAGAGTACTGCCAACCTAGCAAGACTCCTCAGTCCTTTTATCTTGTAATGGGAGCTCATAATATGTACAATTACAGTATATAGGAATAAAGCTAGGTGGAATCAATTACTATAGTTACAGGGGAGTTAAAATTTAACATATGCTGTATTTTTAATGGCAATTCATGAAGACACTTTACCCATGGTTGCATAGTGAGGGTACTTACATAGATATATTGCTAGAGTGTGATGGTGCTACAGTAGTTCTATGTCATGCTACAACATGTATTGTATGTGGAAGATATGGTGAATGGATGAGGTGTTCTTACAGAATTTTTAAATATTTGTTTCCTCTATTGTTCTATTGTTTTTTCATGGTTAATGCCTCCATAGCCCATGAGAGCGGAAAAACTGGCTAAATAACAATGATGTTTCAATACAAGCACCGTTTTTTACAACCGAGATCAACACACGCCTACACACTTCTGTAACCTATTTCTGTAGTGTCTAAAAATCCATCCTTGAATGTAATGAAATGTCTATTTCTGGTGGTCCCCAACATGGCGAACTTCAGGGTACCACTGTGGGGCCAAACTACCAAACTGAACATCAACTGTATGCTACTTAAAATAGATTACAGTATACTGTATATATAAACTTATCATTCTAATGTAAAAATAGGAATTTCACAAAAATTAGTCTAGTGATTATTCAAAAAGGACTTGTTAAATTACCAGTATGTGTGTTGTCAGATCACAAGCTCTTAAAACCAATATAACACCTAACATATGACTAAGAGGATGCACCATTAAACTAGCTCACTAGTGACACTAGCTCAGTTATATACATTTGTGATACAGTACAGTATTATATTAATTAAAAATTACTTCTTCAGCTTCAATTTATGGGCTACAGCATGACAACAAAATTATTCAAATTTAGACACAGTAAATAATTACATATTTACTGTGCATTTATTCAATTTTAAACACAATAAAAACAAATACAGTATTAAACTTAAAAAAACATGACTACGTATTTTATAGTAACCAACAGTACAATTATGAAAATTATAGAATGGGAATAAATTCATCAACCTAAAGATGCTAACTGTTGTTGTGTGACAACAACAACAACACCCACAGCCACTCCAATGATGGACTTTTCTACTGCCGGATAACTTTCTCATTCAAGCCGTACTTGTTTTATTGCACTATGCTTTATGGTGGGTTTTATCCTGGTTTTGGGTCGATCTCTGATCTCCCAGTCTCTCCGTCACCTCATAATACGAAGCAGATCAGGGACCAGATTCATCAAGCAGTTACACGAGTACTGTACTTACAAACCTGTACATCTTTTCTCAATCTTTGGCAGCTTTGTTTACATATATTGAACCGTTTTTAACTCCAAAGTGCTAGGAGGCTGTTTACAACAACAACATTTGATTGGGAAGTTTTCATCCTCATAAACTGCTTAATAAATGTGAACAAAGCCTCCAAAAGATTCAGAAAAGACGTACAGGTTCATAAGTGCTTGTGTAAATGCCTGGTGAATCTGGCCCCTGATCCTGGACCAGGATTCATGAAGCATTTATCCATCCACCTACTAAATTTGTACATCTTTCAACAAACACGGCATCTTTGTTAACATATATTAAACAGCTGACAAGATTCAAAATATCACAATCCGAGGTTATTATTGTTATAAACATAGTACTTTAGAGCTCATAAGATGTTTAATAAATGTAAATAAAACCAAAATGATTGTTGAAAGATGTACAGGTTTCATAAATGGGCGAGTAAATGCTTAATGAATCCTGGTCAAGGTTTTCAGTAGGTAATGGATGGTTCTCGGGAACCTTGTGTGGGTGTCAAAGGCTAAGGAAACTACAAGAAGGCACTTCCAAAAATTACAAACTAAGAAATTAGTTTCTTGCCTAATGTAAAGGGCATTTTCATTGAAATCAGCAGCAAGACATTTGGTATCAAACAATAAAATCCAATACAAATGTGTGGATAATGTGTGAACAAGCCCCTACTGCATCATACAACACTGAATCAAAAGCTAATAGAAATGGTGACAAACTAAGTGGCATGAGAAGGAAGGAGACAAAAAAAAGGGAAGTTGAGCAGTATTGTACTTTGAAGGAATTCAAAATGTTAACGTATAATATTAGGATATGATAAACATTTATAAAACTTACATTTTTTTTTATCATTAAGACACTACAGTATTTGAAAATTGCTATCAAGAAAACTCATATTTAAGTACTGTATTTAGTGTAACTGCTCCACTTTAGCATCCTCTAACTTTGTTGCAGCCTCTCACTAAGTACACTACTTCAAGTCCAGTCCCCACTTCACTATAATTTTGTTTCTTCTCCTTTCACAAGGATAATTCCTGAGAGCTGACTGCTTACTCAATATTGTAAAGTATGCGTGTACTGTTTATTCCACTTATCTTGATTCCAATAATTTTATAAGTGAGATAGATGGAGGTACTATTCAAAATGCTGAAAATGCATAACTGGTCACATTTATTGCAACCATTTTTTATAATTATTGTACTTATTGTCAAATCTACAAAGACAAACATGCAAGAATGTACAACAGTGAACAAATTATCAGTGTCAGATCGACTCACTAAATACTGCAAGAAAAATTAACAATTGTCTTGAAACTCTCATGTTAAACTACTGTTAACCAAAACCAATATGGTATAAAGTACTGGGAACTGATGAATGAACTATAAAACTACTTATTTTTGTAAGAAGTACTCTAAATTTAGTGGTTCCTGCTGACTGCATGCAGTTTACAAGGAATTAACAGTTACCATTTTCTGTGTTATGCTTCAATGATGATGTCTTCAGGAGAATGCTGGAAGAAGAATGCTCATGTCCATTTAAGTTGTTTGCTTCTTTTGACACTATTACTGGGATTATCTTAACTTGTTCAGTCTGTTGTTTCACTGACTGTGTTGGTACTAATCCTATGCTAATACCAGTACTCTCTTTCACAGAATTCTCGGTCTCAATAGAAGATTTTTCTATTTCACCTCTTGGTCCTTTTTTCTCTGTGCACCTGTGTTTTCTAAATTTTTGATAAGTACTATAATTATAGGAGCACTTTGGACAGTATGTACACTTGTGATAGTTAAATCTGATCGATGATGAAAAAGTCCGATTGCATTTCACACAAAAGTTTTCCTTTGCACAATGATGATTTTCTAATCGTTGAAGTGATACAAAACATTTTTTACATTTCTGACAAAAATTATATAAATGTTCTTGCAAGTGTGTGCTCGAAGAGTAGGAGTAGTTGCAGTGCGCACACACATACTTCCTCTCATTGGACATGAAGGAGCTCTTATCTTCAAGAGAATAAAGGAGACACCAACTGTTTCTGAATAATAATACTGTACTGTAATATTAATAATAATAGTAATAGTAATAATAATCATAATACAGTAATAATAATAATTAATAAATGACCAAACCACACACCAGAAAAATGAGGAGACGACAACATTTCCGTCCATCCTGGACCATTATAAAGACTTTAAAATGGTCCAGGATGGACCAAAATGTCGTCGTCTCCTCATCTTCTGATGTGTGGTTTGATCATCATATCTTCAGCCACAGTATTGTGACTCATCATCTGCAGCAGCAATAACAATAATATTATATTTATTAACAGATTAAATGTAATAAAACGCTTCTTTCTTGGGAAATCTCAGTGGCTCCCTGTTGCTCGCCACACTGAGACAGCTCCATATTATTAAGTCACATCAGCCCTTGCAAATCATTAAAAGCCTTTCACACAAAACATTTCCCTTTCTTTTCCAGCAAATTATGCCAGATGAAGAATGGAAGGAGGAAACATGAACCGGTAGAATTCACTAGTCAGAGAATCATTAGGAGCCATGAGGATTTGAACCTGAACCCTGGGTACTCCCAAGTACACGCCTTAAACCACTAGGCCACGATATGCTACAAAACTAATACAAACTAAGATTCAACCGAATCCTCTAGGGGTCCCGAGGCTTAATTATGCCCTAGGTGGAAAACTAAATAGTTTTCTCCAAGGAGTGCTGGACCAACCGGGCTGTGGTGGGTATGTGGGGCCTGCGGGCCGCTCCAAGCAACAGCTTGGTGGACCAAGCTCTCACAAGTCAAGCCTGGCCTCAGGCCGGGCTTGGGGAGTAGAAGAACTCCCAAACCCCATCAAGCAGGCATAAAGCAGGTAAAGCTACTCAAAGCTTCCTAACAAGCTACCCAAATCTTCCTAACATTAGGTTAGCAATGAATAAATATGATATATTTATTCATTATAATGTTGGTGCTGAACGTAGAACATGGAAAACCATATTTTTACCCTGAGAAAGTATCCTTTTATAACGAAATTAGACGAAAATAGCTGCCGGTGATGCCAAAGCAACAATGTTGTGGAGCGGCTTATCCAAGACACATTGTTGCTAGGAGATTGTTTGCTGGCATATCAGCCTTCTGTACCTACCTAACCTAACCAACCTACCCAAACCTAACCTAACTAAACCTATCTAATAAAACCTGTAGGCAACAATATATCTTGGATAAGTCGCTCCACAACATTGTCGCTTGTATCGTCGACTTCCTATGGCCTCTCATGCCACTTAGTTTCATCTAATTTCGTTATAAGTTTATATTATTTCAGAGTAAAAGTATATATATTCATGTTCTACCTACAGCACCAACATTATAGTGAGTAAATATATCTTATTTCTTCATTACTTACATAATGCTAGGAAGCTTTAGGTAGCTTTGAGTAAATTTGGGTAGTTTTGGGTAATTAGACGGACCGCAAAAGAACATAAGAATAAAGGTAACTGCAGTAGGCCCATTGGCTCAAAAGAGGCAGTTCCTATTTATAACTACTCAATCCCACTCGTATGTATGTCCAAAACACGTTTGAAATAATCAAGGGACCCCACCTCCACCACGTTACGCGGTAATTGGTTCCACAAATCAACAACCCTGTTACCGAACCAGTATTTACCCAGGTCTTTCCTAAATCTAAAGTTATCCAATTTATACCCGTTGTTTCGTGTTCTGTCTTGTATTGATACTTTTAATACCCTATTAATATCCCCTTTGTTATGCCCATTCATCCGCCTGTACACCTCTATCATGTCATCCATAACTCTTCACCTTACACCAGGAGCCTCGTTTACACCACAACACACCAGGAGCCTCGTTTACACCACAATACACCAGGAAACTCGTTTACACAACACACCAGGAGACTCGTTTACACAACACACCAGGAGACTTGTTTACACAACACACCAGGAGACTCGTTTACACAACACACCAGGAGACTCGTTTACACAACACACCAGGAGACTTGTTTACACAACACACCAGGAAACTTGTTTACACAACACACCAGGAAACTTGTTTACACAACACACCAGGAAACTTGTTTACACAACACACCAGGAAACTTGTTTACACAACACACCAGGAAACTTGTTTACACACCACACCAGGAGCCTCGTTTACACCACAACACACCAGGTGTTTACACACCCGTCTTCCCACCACAACAGTCAGGGGAAACATTCCCATGGTGGTGAAGACGGGTATACTCACCGTTATTAGAGGCGGCAGCCCACACCTTGGGCGGTGAACCATCGTCCAGAGACAAGCACTGGGCCAAGAGCGGTCAAGTACTCACATGTTACATGAGTATGAGGTGAGTACAGGAATATGAAGTGAATGTGAGGTGAGTATAAGCGTTGGCGGGCGATAGACGCCGCCCAGGATCCTCACACTCCCGCCTTAGTCTCACACACCAGTAAAATATAACCTCTTACGAGGCAACCTAATATCCAGGATACTTTGCATTAACTCTCATTCCTCTTTACCTTAACTTAAAGGCACATGTTATTATATTTAAATGGCAACAAACATTCCTAACAAATTAGCACTACATTTTTATATCTCCAATAATATCTCCATCAGGAAACATCCTACACTAGACGACATTTTGTTAATTTAATATAAATATATCCTAAACTTAATCGCCTACCGTATTTACAACATTATTAATCGTTTTGAATTTACTTTTAGATGTAATATTTCATAAGTATTGGAGTGTAGGGTCAGTGTAGGAGTGTCATCCTCGTGTAGTAAACACAGTGCAGGAAGGTCTTGTGTTGATGACCCTTATGTACGGGCGCAGTAAGGCTCACGTCTTCTGCCTCACCTTACACTCCTTCACTCCCGTGGGTTATCTTAGGTTATCTTGGGTTAGGTTAGGTAGGTTTCAAAATCCGTTAGCGAATCGTTTTGTGTAATATGTGACTTGTATCCTTCTAGAGCAACTCATACAATTAATAATAATAATAATAATTTATTCACAAGGTATAATACATTTAGTGGGTGCACAAAGTATCTACTAGACAGTGTGACATTATAATTGCCAGAATTGGGCTGGAATATTGATATTTATTGCATATAATGACTCCCCCAATGGTGAACATTCCAATTGCAAACTGTGTGAATAAGAGCTATAACAATGAGCGAACAACTGGAGTGAATTAACACGATATCTGTGATTGCTCTGTAATCAGTGACTTCTGACCGAATAGCATGAGGTACTTTGACATCTGTAACTTCTTAATTTATACACCCACGAATATTGGAAGATATTCTTGTGCTCGACTCTGATTTTGCTATTAATAATTAATTCAGTGTGTCCAGGGACAGGAAGCCAGAGTGTATTCATTCACGTTTGGCTTTCGTCTCATATTTTGTTTCTATGTTTGATTTCCTTTTTTTCATTTTCGCGTTTCTCTTCATTTTGTATAATAATAATGATAATTTTATTTAGGGAAAATTACATACAAAATGAGTTTCAAGCAGAATGTTGGATTTCTAGAGTATATACATAGATATATAGAGTATATTTCAAGTATATACTGTGCCTATAGCCACTAGTACGCACAGCGTTTTCTACTTCATTTGCTTAACTGCTATTAGGTCTTCTGTAGTTTTCTTTAATATGTTATCTCAGTTTTCATATTTTACGTTATAAAGCAGCCAGGATTCAACATTATGTGAACACTTACAGAACTTGTACATCTTTCATCACTCATATGGCGTCTTAGTTTACTTAGTGTTGAAACTTTTTATGTATATTTAATATAGGATAAATTAAAACACAATAAGCAAAGGGTAAGATAGTGCCAAATAGTAAACATCCATCTTATGTTAGGAAAGAATGCTATGCATTTAATTGGTAGCACATAGCAAGCAGAGATCATCACTTTCTGTGGATAATTATTCATACTGTCTGGTGGAAGTTTTGCACTGTTTGTACATAAAATTATGTTCTAAGCAGATTATAACTCAATACGTCTAGTTCTTGCTGTTAGACAGTACGACAAATTCATGATCAGAATTAGAGTGGAATATTGTTACTTTAGGCTGGTAGCGAATCTTTAACACACGCCATTATATGTAAACACCCAAGCTAAGACGCTCTTCATTATTGTATTTCTAATTCCCGATTATCAATGATTTTAAATCAAATGGCATAAGATATATGGAAATTTTTAACCCAATTTACACAAAGGTATTTGATAGGCTATCCTCCTAGCATATCGAAGTTTGCTAGTACAGGCTCCAGACTAAACCTTCATCCTACATATGACCAATCTAGGTTACCAGTAAATTACTGTCTCTCCTTAATAATATTATTATTTATTAACAACCTTAGGTATACACAGCAATGTGCTGCTACCCTATTCTGTATGAAAGATTACAGTATAGATCAAAAACTACTGTAAGTTCATCTAATATCCGCATCTCACAGAATGGTTAGTAATACATTGAATCAGGAGAGAACATGAAATGTTCTATGTTGCTATTATATATATATATATTATTAAATTATGACTATTATATATATTAATTATATATATTGAAATATATGACCATTAGCCTCCACTAGCAAAATCTGGATACAGCACAAGAATGTCTTCCAATATTCCTGAGTGTATGAAGTAATTACAGAGCTCAAAGTACCTTATACCATTTGATCTGAAATCACTGATAACAGGGCACTCATAGATATAGTGTTGGAGAATATGTATTAGCTCTTGTTCACATAGTTTACAATGGGAATGTTCACCCATTGGGGGATTCATTACCTGCAGCCACCTGCCATAGATATCGATATCACAGCCTAATCCTGTCAATTACAATGTCATACTGGCTAGTGGATGTTTGATACCGCACGTTGTGCGACTGGAATAGAGCAGTAGCTATTATGGCAGGTCTTGTGCCAATCGCACATTAATAAAAAAAAAGTAAAACAGAAAAACACTGCTTGTGTCCTCTACAGTGTGAGAGCTGCGGGTGAAAATCGAAGAGAATAAAAATTTCAAACATTTAATACAATTACTTTAATAATACACAAAAATAATTAGTAATTAATGAAAAACAAAGCCCTTAAACACTTGGCTTTACAAAAGAAAACAAAAGAAAAATATATGCAAGTGGAATTTACGTTAATATTAAGGGTGCAAGTAATTCTTTATACAAAAACTGTACGTGTCTACCGTCACACGGGGAGCGAGAGTAGATGTTACAGCTGAGAGCACTGGAAGTGTATTCTAATGTCTGGACTGTTGTTGTTTTATATTTAGCTACTCTGAACAAAAAGTTCCAAGTAGCACGGGGTGTGGTGAGCTCATAGTGGACTTACCTGGCACATGAACGGGGTTGTGAATGTCTGGACGATTGATTGATGAAGATTAAGCCAACCAAAGGTGGCACGAGCATGAATAGCCCGTAAGTGGTGGCCCTCAGAGCCCTTACCAATATCATTAGCTGATACTGGAAATCTGTGGAGGTGCGACTGCACCCTACGGAGAGGTCGTGACTTCTGAATGTCTGGACGCCGGCGAGCCCTATTTTTATGGGGCATGACGTCAAATCTGGCGCGAATTCTGTAGGTAACTATCGGCCGGCAGATGAATGGTTGTTAGTGGTTCGCGTCTGGTCGCCTGCCGGGACTGCAGGTGTGGTGGTGACTTGGACCCTGGAGGGTGGACAGTGGTGGTCTGTATGACATTACTTGTGGGCACGTATTGTTGTCGTTGATGTCGAAGCATGCAGATACGTTGGTGAATAGGCGGTAAAGGAACAGCCAGGCTCTACTGCTAGGCAAGTGATTACCGTAACACCGTACATATAATTATCGATTCTAAACATGTCATAGCTCTTTATACTTGTGCTTTCTGGCCTTTGAGTGTCAGTAACTGCTCTTCTGTCTTCCCTAATTTCCTGAAATAGTGCGGCTTTTACAGCAGAAATTGGAATGCCCATATCCAACTTAAATTCAGGCTAATCACATACAGTTTTAGCTGCCTCGTCTGTGTCATCATGCTGGACAACACCTGCGGCAGATGGTATCCATACAAATGAGACTGAAACTCTTGCGTTTTGCATTAATAATGTTTATAATGAATGTTACACCATTCCTCGTATCTATTTTGCATGTTGGGGTTTTAAGGGCCTGAAGAGCTGACTTTGAATTACAGAAAATTACTCCTCCACTATTCTTCAGTGCGTCAGTGCCAAGTTGTAGAGCAGCTAATTCTGAGGGACGTGTAATACACTTGTATTTTAATACAAATCTTATTCCCTTCGATATTACCGTGAACCAATTTTTATAATCTCAATATTAAGATCAATTTGTTATATTTAAGATACTAAATTGCCTTTAAAGTATATTTTGGCTAAGATCATCTTCTCTGCATTAATATTCAATGAAGACCACAGTAACTTTCAAAATACACAAATGCAGGAAATGAGGGCCCTATGCACAAACTTAGAATTTAAAAATTTGCATTTTTCTACATAAAAACATATATTTCAATACAGTGAAATAGCAGTGGGAAAAATATAATAACAATTGACTGTATAATATTTACTATTCTTGAGCAAGTTGGACAAAAATATATTAACAGTGTCTACAATAGACACTGAACAACTGATATAAGGTACAGAGGCACGGCTTCCCCTCAGGGGGGCGAGGGCCACACACATGTTACACGTGGCGTGAACGTTGGTATATCCGTCTCCAGGCCGGGTAGAGGCTCCCGTGGCATATATGACACCCCAGGCACGGTAAGGGAAGGGTTAGACGACTGGAGCCTCCCGGGTTATATTAGAGACCAAGGCATGGTTATAGGGTAAGGGGAAAACTCTCGTACTGAGGTCAGAATGGAAGGAGTGGGAACGGACGGGGCGTCGGGAGACAGAGGGGACGGAATGTCTTCGAAGACACAGGACGGAATGTTAGGGGAGAAAAGGAGAACGTCGGAAAAGAATAGACGGAATGTCCATGGAAGAGAGATTTAAATAGAAAGACAAAATAGTAGCCCTGGGTACATGGAAGGAAAGTGTCTTGGACAATCACGAGGAAGGGTTAGGGTAGGGTAGAGCTGTCATGAGGAAGGGTTAGGGTAGGGTAGATCTGTCATGAGGAAGGGTTGGGGCAGAAAGTGTGGGGATGGGGAAGAGAAGGTTCACACCGTGGGAACTGGACGACATCTGCATCACTCATCACAACTGTTACACACAAGACTTTTTCCTCTTCAATCTGTTATAGATTTTAGTTGTAACAGAAATCAACCCAAATGATAGAACATATTACACAAATTGCGGTCATTACATATTTATAGTGCAACTGAAATAATTTACCTAAAAATGAGCACCAAATGTTTTAACATGGAATCTTGAGATAAAGTAATGTCATGATATGCCACTGTTCATTGACATGTATGAATTACTACCATATTTTCCACCAGTGATGGCTGGAAGAGGAGGTACCTTCACTGATTGCTGTAACTTATACATCACAAAGAACTCTGTGTCATTAAGTCTATGTCCCAAGAGAACCCATTGGTTGGAGAAGAATAGTTATGTTAAAGTGGCTCCACTTCCCTTTACCTACAAACTTATATAAAAAAACAAACTGACTCTGCTTCATATAACGTACAAACAAACAAAGAATAAGAAACAAGCGTTTGGATATCAGTTATATAATATGATGAATTTTGTTGTTTAGAGGAGAGAGGTTGGACACTCATCTACTTTCCAGTTTTCCTAAAAATGTGATTAAATATAATAGTGTTTGAGATCGTCTCTTAATGATAAATACAAATAAATAAATCTGGAACTAAGCTAAAGTTAACTTTTTTGTTTACCAAAAATAGCAATGTTCCACACTAGGCTAGAATAGATTATTTATAGACTCTTTTTCCCAATTCAACGTGGATTGGAAACTGCTTTTAATTCTAAGAATTGGCCACATCATATTAACAGCCATCTCCAAGTAGACGAATCTGTGTAATGCCTCTTTACTGAAAAACACCTGCTGATTGAATACTCTAATATGTGAATGGAACAAGTTCATGATGAATGCACATTTTGCTGTTTCATCGTCAACTTCATGAATTATATACCCATATGACTAGTTACAAAGCGGAGCTCCACTTGTTTGCATTTACTAAAATCTTAAGATACAGCCAATGTTGGATTTCTGAAGACAAAGTATCAGGGGTTAAACAGTGTGTGAGCTAGTACGGGGCTCACAGTGTACAACAATAACCAAACTGTTTCACTAATATCAACCACTTAAAACACTTTTTAAACTGGATTTTTTTTATACTATAGATAAAATATAACGTAGAAAGACCATTGCAGCCTACTCATAATAAATCTATAATGTTAATAAATAATTGTTTAACCACTGCCAAACCCAGTTATGTGTATTACTAATTACTCAACCATTTATCACAGTCCAAGTGATTCAACACGTCAGTTCGTATCATAGTAGATACTAAATTCAACTTATAAAAAGTCACCAATAATCCGCCTATGACCTCGTAGTTGTAATTTGATTACTATTGATTACATTTCCTCAACACTTTTCTTTTATGAAATAAATTCCTGAGCCGTTTACTGAAGGTAAATATTCGGATACAAAAATAAATGATCCGAGAAGCCGCCATACTGTAGTTGGCTTGAAGTATGTGTGAACAAATCCACAAGGGCCGTGACGAGGATTCGAACCTGCGTCCTCGTCACGGCCCTTGTGGATTTGTTCATTTGATGCATCACGTTAGTGTGATCTCTGTGTGTGTTGAGGTATGTGTCTTGTTATTGGTCATTACCAAGTATTGCTATATTATAGCACCTCCAACCTGATATACATGCCTTTATTAATACTGTATTTGGCTCATAAACTCCTAACTTAATACACAATGGAATCACAAGAAGGTGATATATCAAGGAGAAAATACAGCCGTACAATGGGATTAAACCAGACAGGTCAAGTTACAGCCCCGCTCCTGTGCTAGGTAAGTCCACTACGGGCTCACCATAGCCCGTGCTACTTGGAACTTTTTGTTCCAAGTAGCGAATCTTAACAACAACAACAATTAAACCAGAGTGTGCTTGAGGAGTCCACAGGCGCAGGTTCGAACCCATTGTATAGCTTTGATCAAAGCTATATTTCCTTATTAAGGCTACTCAGTAGTTCGGTGGATAGAGCTTCGGCCTCACACACGTGGGGTCTACGGTTCGAGTCTCCCAGAGCCCAGGTGAATGGAATAGTTTTGATATTTTCTCTGTTAACTAAATATTTATATATTTATCCATAAATATATAAATATTTATACGTACAGCAGTGGTTCTCAACTGTGTTTTTAATTTTTAAGCCGCACAATTATTAAATGTAAACATTCTAATTCTGAAACAGATATACAATGGAAGTTATTACTTATAGACTTCATCAGCAGTGACTGATGAAGTCACTTCATCATCAGTGGTTAATAGACTTCATCAGCAGTGACTGATGAAGTCACTTCATCATCAGTGGTTAATAGACTTCATCAGCAGTGCATTAGAGTCGAGTTATTAAGACCTATGCTACGAGTCGCTCACGGAATCCTACCTAAGCACTCCCGAAACCCCAATTGAGAACTACTGCTCCAGGTGGTGGCTCAACCAAGGCAAAGGAGGTAGCTAATGTAACTGATAACAGTGAAAAGCGTCAGCAATTCATTCATAGTGGAGCAAAAGGAGTAGAGCCGTGTTGAGCACTTGTGATCACGTGTCGCAGAGGACGACAGTGGCGACAGAGTCTCCAGCAGCTCGCGTCTCTCTAAGAGTGGCCGCCATTGTGGGGTGTGTGACGCGAGCCTGAGATGAGGGGTCGTGGTATAATGCTATATTTTAAGGTTAGCCGAGGTACAAATTGTGGTGGTGAAGGCCTACAAAACTTGTGGATAAGATGGTTAGAAGTAGTGAGATGGTTGTAGCGAAGACTCCTACGTTTACGGCTGACATTACTGTCAGATTAATATGCTTCTACATATGTGAACATGTGTTAATGTCTACATCTGTCTCAGAGGAGTAGCTGACGGGATTACAGCACACATAAATTACTTTCCTACAAGCAAGTTCAAGACGTATATGGTTGTGCTGAAATCCTTTTCTAGTTTTCTTAAGACGATATGAGTAATGCAGGTGATGTGTTCACACTCCAGGAGTAGAGATGTGTAGTCACGTGACTCATGTCTCGCAGTAATGTGTCCACACTCAGGGGTAGAGATGTGTAGTCACGTGACTCATGTCTCGCAGTAATGTGTCCACACTCAGGAGTAGAGATGTGTAGTCACGTGACCCCATGTGATGTGCTGCATAACAAGGGCTACAGCAGGTGAAGGACGGGACTGAGATAACAGTGGATAAGAACAATACATCCCTGATACAGGAATTCATAACACAGCAGCGGTAGAGGAGTTGACCCATGAAGGAATGTTGTTGAGGTCGAAAATGATGACCCCGAGTGTGTTGATCATGATGGTGATGACCAGGACACACAGCACGTTCATCACCAGTCCTGCCCGCATCTGTAACACCATACTACACTGTAGTTACCCTCAACAATGTAATCACAACAACAACAACGTCATATATGTATGAGCAAATATTGAGGCAGCACCGTGGATGCCGGAACACTGCACGAGGTCCAAGGAGAGCAGCGACGTCCAACAACTTGCACACAACACCGCTCCTGTGTCAAGTAAGTCCACTAAGGGCTTACCATAAGCTCTGCTACTTGGAACTTTTTGTTCCGAGCAGCTGAATCTAAAAGAGAAAAACCACCGGGAATGGTGCAAGTTATTGGGCATCGCAACAGGGCCTTCTTACGCAGGCTCTGTAAGAAGTGAGGGCCGTCTCTCTACCGACCGCCCCAAGTTACAGGACAACCATAGGGTGGGATCCAGCCCGCATCCCTGAACTCCTCAGGCACGAGCACTACCAACTGGACCACGATGGGCCTAAAAAGTATCTGAGCCAGAAGTACTATAGTTGACTTGCTTGGTGTGTGGAAGGCGGGAGTGGGAGTGCCCGAGGAGCTGAGGGAGGCGGGCTCCAGCCCATCGTACGGCTTCAATATTTCCTCTTGAGTTATCCTGCTGTGATATACTTGCATAATTGTTAATACCTGGAACACGAACATGAGGGTGCATTTAGTCACTGTTACTTTAAACGACCAATATTAATAAGACTATACATTTATATAAAATACTTCAATGAATGGATTCCTATTGTATTCACCGTCTCACAGTTAACAATCTTGTTAAATCAACGCAACATGGTTTTGTTGAAAATAGTTCCTGCCTTACAAACCTGCTCACATTTTTGGAAATGGTAACCAGTTATTCAGACAAAGGACTCCCGGTAGATGTAGTATATATGGTGAACTCCGTTAAAGATTTGGACAAGGTACCACATTAAAGACAAGCAAGGAAATTACAGGCTCATGGAATAAATGGTAGAATGGAGAAGGAAAACAAAGGGTCGTGCTAAAAGGAAATGAATCTGACTGGAGAAATGTGGTAAGTGGAGTATCACAAGAGTCCATTTTGGGGCCAACCCTTTTTATCACATACATCAATGCTATAGATGAGAATATTGCAAACCATATCATCAAATTTGCAAATGACACTAAGATTTCTGGTAAAGTGGTAAGTGAAAATGATACTGAAGTCTTAGAAAGAGATCAACATGAACTTCCCAAATGGTCAGAAGACCAGCAAATGCTTTTTAATATTGAAAAATGCAAGACCTTACATGTGGGGCATAACAACCCACATCACAACTACCAAATTAACAACACTGCCTTGCAGCAGATTGATGAAGAAAAGGTCCACGGAGTCAGAGTCCATCATTCACTGAATGTTGCACAAGTGGCAGCAAAAAAAGCTAACTAAACCCTAGGAATAATCAAGCGTATCTTTAACTTTAAGGAAAAGAAGGTAGTTATTCAACTGTATAAATCTCTGGTGTGTCCCCCACCTGGATTTTTGTATCCAATTGTGAAGACTCATCTTCAGAAAGACACAGCTGCTTTAGAGAAACTCCAACAACGGGCAACAAAAATCATTCAAGAACTAAGTCAACTCTCATACCAGGAGCGGTTGAGGGCCACAGGGCTAACAACAGTGCAAACCAGGCATGACAGAGCGGATCTCACTGAAACCTTCTAAATACTGAACAATTTGGTGGATGTTGATCCAGATAACTTCTTCAAAAGATGTAAGAAGCTCAACTAGCCACACTGTAAGGCTGAGAGCTATGCTTTTTCACCTATGTAAACCGCCTACTTGCCGAAACCGTAAATGCCAAAACGCTGCTGAATTTTAATATCCAGATTGAACAAATCATCAGGACAAATAGGGGGGGGACCTTTGACAAGCCGCCTGCTTAAATAAATAAACGGTGAACCAATGATGTCTGTTATCATGACTGTAAGGCGCATGAGTTATAGGAGCGGCTGCCTTACCATCTCGTAGGTGTTCATGCGAGCGGCTGTCAGGATGATAGCGTTGCCGGGGGTGGCAACAGGCAGCATGAAAGCATAGGCACAGCAGACTGTGGCTGGCAGCATCAGGTACAGAGGGTTAACGTTGATTCCCAACGCCTGAGGGTACACATATAGCAAGGTAAGTTGTGGCTCAACTTCCACAAAGTTTATTGAGACAATAAGATGCATCTTAAAAGTCTAGAGTAACTTAGGCTATTTCTATCCTCCATTTCAACACAAGGAAATCCATTGGGAGGGGTGAGAGCATACACTAGTACCCCCCAGAGAAATATATACACTTGTACCTCCAGAGAATCATATACACTAGTACCCCCAGAGAAACATATACACTTGTACTCCCCAGAGTAACACAGAGAGTTGTACCTCCAGGGAGACACATACACTTGTACCCCCCAGAGAAACATATACACTTGTATCCCCCAGAGAAAAACATACACTAATACCCCCAGAGTAACACATAAGAGTTGTACCTCCAGGGAGACACATACACTTATATCCCAAGAGAAACACATACACTATACCCCGAGATAAATGTATACCCTACAGGTCATAAACAAAAGAGTGGGCACCAGGTCCTTGATGACAGGAAGGAGGACGGAAGCGGTGGCGGTGTTGGAGGCGACCTCGGTGAGCATGGCGGTCATCAGACACACCACGAACACGATGAGCTCTTTGGGCATGATGACGAAGTGCTGGAGCTGGTGGCCCAGGAAGACGGAGAGCCCGGAGACCTTGGCAGCCTCGGCCATGGCCAGCCCTCCCCCCAGCAGGAGGATCACACCCCAAGGCACCTTCTCATGAACCACCTCCCACGTCAGACACGTCTCCAAGCGCCGCCTGCTCTTCATATTCCGGTCGTCTGGGGAGACGAATAAAGCTATCACTTATTTTTGTTTATCTCAAACAAATTGCTTACATTTATCTTGGCTTCAATTATATAGCCGGAAAATTTTGAAAATATTCTTTCGTAAAAGTCATCAGGCAACAATTGAATCATACCCCTCAAATAACAGAAAAGTACCGCAGAAGGCTACAGAAGGACCTGGACAAACTGCAGTTCTGGTCTGAATGATGGCTACTCGACTACATCCCAAATAAATAAAAGGTAATGAGAGTCAGGCATGTACACGAAGAGAAGAAGGAAACAAAGCTTCAGGAATCGGAAATGGGGATAAATAGTAGAGCACTAAAAATACAAAAGAAATCGAGGGCATAGGTTAAGTAATAATTGTAAATAAGAAGCAATAAGATGCTTATCTTAACATACTAAGAAGGTTACGTGAGGTCGGTGTTTTCTATGACGCTTTTCAAGGTAAACTAAAATATTCACAATCAATTAGTACGTCACATATGCACTTATTAAATAAGCCAATATTGACAGTAAGCAAGTGCGAGAACGGGTTGCAGCTCATCGAAGCATCACCATGCTGAGGAACTGTTCCTTTAACGTACCTCTAGAGTTTATCTTTAATTCATCAATTGAGAGAGGCAAGCTGCCTAACAGCTGGAAGACTATTAACGTAATACCGATATATAGAAAAAGTGAGAGGCAAGAGTTGCTGAATTACAGACATGAAATAAGGGAAAGACCGGTGGAACATATAGATAAAATTAGGTTAGTAATCAAACACCACCATAGTTTTACTGAAGGATAATTGTGCCCAGACAAACCTACTTGACTTTTATGACAAGTTAACAACAATCCAACAGAGAAGAGAGGGTTAAAAGACTGCCAAGATGCCTTTGAAACATTTTTGCATAAGTGGCTGTTACACAAACTTAAGAAGCAGATGAGAGTAGCTAGGAGAGTACTAACGTGGGGTAAGAAAGTACTTAACTGAAAGGAGGCATCGCGTAACAGTGAAGGATCTGTCGTGGGATCTACATAATTTCCAATCAATGTCTGTTAGGATTGAGTAGTATGTGTAGTATTTATTATTACTTATCATCCATGCATATAATGATATCGATTTTCTTTTGTTTTCAGTTACTTTATGTTTTTGTCATATGTTTGTACCTGGAGTTTATAACTCCGTCGGTGTGGCTTTTGCTTATTTAAACAAACCAAGAACAGAATGGTTTAATTCTTCAGGCCAAACCATGACAATGTTAATGACCTAACCATGGGGACAGTTATACACCCCCCCCCTGAGTCAGCGTCCCTGGAGATTACCCATCACACTCACCAGACTTGTGGGTCTGAATAATACTCGCCTGAGTCGGGGGGTCTGTGCAACACTCACCAGGGTTGGGGTCTGTGTAACACTCACCAGGGTTGGGGTCTGTGCAACACTCACCAGGGTTGGGGTCTGTGCAACACTCACCAGGGTTGGGGTCTGTGCAACACTCACCAGGGTTGGGGTCTGTGTAACACTCACCAGGGTTGGGGTCTGTGCAACACTCACCAGGGTTGGGGTCTGTGTAACACTCACCAGGGTTGGGGTCTGTGCAACACTCACCAGGGTTGGGGTCTGTGTAACACTCACCAGGGTTGGGGTCTGTGTAACACTCACCAGGGTTGGGGTCTGTGCAACACTCAGACCTCGCTGGGATGCAGAAGAGCAGAAATACTATCAGCATCACAGGTGTTGCATCCCGTATAAGCCTACGAGGGGTGGAGAGATAATATTTAATACAGAAGACAAATATTCTGACTAGTGATAGTGTAGATCAACCAATGTTTGCTCCTCCTCCAGAAAAAAAAACAGAAGCTTACCAAGCAAAAACAAAACTATGTTGGATTACCCATCCAAAAGGTTGATCTAGAAAAACTTTCCATTTAGCTTTTGTGTCAGTGAAGCAATAAATAACGGATGACTTGAGGATTTATGTATTTCACAACATTCAGAAGTGTATTAATAACAACTATTGCTTATTCTTGATCAAGTGTGTTGTTGGGAGCTGTGAGAGACGCCTGTGAGACTTAACAACACTGAACCGGTTATCTCGAAGTGGTTTCATCCGGTTTCAAGCACATAACATCAGCAATGTTAAATATAAACACGAATTTTTGTCAAACTTATTATTTGATGTGACCGTAATTATTACGGTGTCCTTCACCATACTGAGTCATGGCAGTGGCAGGAGTCATGGGAGTATGGAGAACCTAACTAAGTAGAATTCGCTCAAAATATAGTTTAATATCTCACTCTTAACAAGGGCTTGAAGGGGGTCCTGATATTATCCTGATATCCAAAATAAAACAACTCGAAAGACGAACACTTTCTCCTCGAAGGTGTTGGAGATGAGTTGGGCCCAGCCTGGGATGAAGCCAGGAGCTCTGAAGACCCACAGGAACACCAGGAGGGTGAAGGAGAGCAGCACCACCAGCTCGTGTTGAGTGATCCTGCCCAGGGACTCGTAGTGCTCGCACAGGAAGGTCTTCATCGCTCGCTCTTGGGCTGGACTCGACCTCTGCACTCTGTTGTTCCTGAAAGATGATCAAACCTCGGTTGGAAGAGTTTTTATTTATTTATTTATTTATATACAAGAAGGTACATTGGGTTTGTGAGAATACATAGCATAGTACAGTATTTACACTCTTGTAAAGCCACTAGTACGCGCAGCGTTTCGGGCAGAAACGCTGCCCGAACTTTCGGGCAGAAAGTTCTAAACCTTCTGTTTGGAAAATGTTAGAAACTGTCTCGAATCTGTTTGTAAAATATGAGAATATTCCTGATTTTTTTTTTAGAATCTGTTTAAGCAGATTCTATTGTAACCATGACATTTGATATTTGGATAAAATCATGAGTGAAATTTGTGGAAATGGTTATTGTGTATAAAACGAGGCGCTAGTTTTAACATTTTAATCAATGATTATATTTTGACTTAATATCCAAGGAAACATGGGATCTTGATAGAATCCCAATAAGAAATATGCAGCTTGAAATTTGCCTAAGAAAATTTTGACATTTTACATTCTTATATAATATTAATACATTTTGCATAGTGTGCTAAACAAAGAATAAAAGCCTTTATGAACTTCAAACGAATATAAACAAGATCAAGCACGTATGAAACGATCAAACATGTATTTAACAAGAACAAACATGCAGGGACCAAAAACATATACGCATGGAAAAAAAAGCATGTCAGTAACAAGTCAAAGAAAAACTTACATGGTCCAAAACTTTACGTTCTAAATATAAACAAAACCGAGAAAGATAACCCTTAACACACACAGAGATCACACTAACGTGATGCATCAAATGAACAAATCCACAAGGGCCGTGACGAGGATTCGAACCTGCGTCCGGGAGCATCCCAGACGCAGTCGATTAAGGCAGTGTCTGGGATGCTCCAGGACGCAGGTTCGAATCCTCGTCACGGCCCTTGTGGATTTGTTCATAACCCTTAACATGTGAAAACATACGGCAAAGATACATGGCACAATGTGTATGGAACAAAGTTTAACCCTTAATAGGGCACAATAGGAGACATACAACTGTATGTGAGAACAGCAGCCTTACCCACAACACATGTAGAGGACCTGAAGCCAGCACCACCCTAGAAGACAGCATAAAATCATTCCAGGAACGTTGAACATCATCCAAGTAGCGAAGTTCAGGTCAGTAGGCTCGCTGAACGTGCTGTGGAATGTAATACTTGTCATCTAAAGGTTCACTGGTGTTATAATATGTTATTTATTTATTTGGTTGGAAAGTATAAGGTCAGAGTTGGGAGGTGCTTGCATGGTGGTAATGATAATACCTGGTTAGTATGGTGATACTAACCTGAGGGGTTGACTATGGTTATAATAGTAGTATTGAGAGTGATAGTATAGTGATGATTGTGGTGTTAGCATACTGACGAAGATAATGATGTTTATCGGCAATATTATGCATCATACATACACACACACACACACACAATTATATATATATATATATATATATATATATATATATATATATATATATATATATATATATATATATATATATATATATATATATATATATATATATATATATATATATATATATGCGAACAAGCCTGAATGGTCCCCAGGACAATATGCAACTGAAAGTGGATTAAGGCGTCTTGTACATACCAGTTGCGTTGCTTCTGGGAGTATGGGTTCGAGTCACTTCTGGGGTGTGAGTTTTCAGTGATATATATATATATATATATATATATATATATATATATATATATATATATATATATATATATATATATATATATATATATATATATATATATATATATACATATGCATGCAAAAACGATCATTAATCGCCGATCAATTAGGTGCTGGATAAATCACATTTGAAAGGTAGAAAATATTGCTAAAACGTTTTCAACCGTCATGGGGCCTTTCTCAGTAGCAGAGTGTCAGGCAAGAAAAGCAGGAGAGGCATGTTCTCTCCTTACCGAGAGAACCGGAAGTCAAGGGGGTCACACCAGTGTCTCTCAGATCTCAGGGAAGCCCAATGATCTGGCCTGATAACCCCGCAAAGACACCGACAGGAACACCAGGTTAAGAGATAAGGCAAAAGGAAGAAGGAGGAGGAGGAAACACACAGAAAGACACAGTAAAGATATGCAAAGGAAAAACTCAATTGATAACACAGGGGAAGGAATTTAAAGGTTATCATTGTAAAGAACCCATTTAAACTCGCATAGAAAACGAACTGCATTTGTGGGGACCCATAGCCTCCAAGAAGGAAATATATTGTTGTGTGTATGTCCTGTAGCACTGCGTTAGTTTAGTTCATTTATTATGCACCCCATACTCATCTTGTGGGCGGTAGTGGAAAGGGATACAGAGGCACATAATGGGCTCAGGAACTGAACCCCACAATTCATTTAGCTAAGCAAGTTACAATCTTGATGAGCTAGTTACAAAATTCAATATAAGTCGTCACATCAACAATGGGTTCGAGATCGACCTCAAGTAGCACTGCGTAATAGAGAAACCTTAAGGAAGGTCCTTGCCTTACCTCTGAAGGATGCCCATCACCACCAGGTTTGGGCCACAGCCGAGGGGCGACCCGGTGCCACCAATGTTGGCAGCGAAGGCCACGGACAAAAAGAACATCTTCCTAACAGACTGAGACTCCTCGTAAGCGTCGTCGTCGTCCTCGTCGTCCTCTGGCAACGAGAACTCTGCCGCCTTCGCTGCTTTCTTCTGGTCCAACTGAGGCGTCCCATCTCTAACACGAGAGGAAAACCGGGTGTATATTGGCCAAATGTGTTAGTGTTAAGGGATGAAGGAGGGGAGATAGGGCAGGAAGGAAATGCAGAATGGTGGAGGGTATGGGTAGTGGAAGGGATCAAAAGACGGTTATGCAGGCGATAAGTCACAATAACGTGGCTGAAGTATGTTGACCAGACCACACACTAGAAGTTGAAGGGACGACGACGTTTCGGTCCGTCCTGGACCATTCTCAAGTCGATTGTGATTCTCACAATCGACCATTCTCACAATCGACTTGAGAATGGTCCAGGACGGACCGAAACGTCGTCGTCCCTTCAACTTCTAGTGTGTGGTCTGGTCAACAAAAGACGGTTATAATTTAAAACTATTCCACCAAATATAAAAATAAATCACCAGAATAAAAACCTAGTTCACCATGAGAAAATTACATGGAGAACGACCGAGATGATGACCTTCTAGGGAAGACTCACTTATAGATGATGTCGGTGAAAGTCGCGTCAGAATCACAGAGCTTGAGACAACTCTGTTTGGGTAGTGACACAGTGACCTCCTGTAGGGTAGGTTCCATACCCTCCTGCTTTCGCCGGGCCTCTATCATCTTCATCTATAACAAAAGATAATACTGTTTACGCTAAAACAAAAACCATCCCATAAAGTCTATTATCGGCAATCTCTTAACACTATTTTGACGAAATTTAAAGACCTAATAACTCGGGTTTCATTATCGCTATCGAGATACAGTCCAAGATGTTGTGATCTAGTCGAAAATAATTGTTGCCCACTGTGGCAACAGTTCATAGTGACGTCACAGGTTCAGGGTCAATTTACTGCTCTCTTTCACGCATGTAAACTTGAACATTTGTACTTCATTTTCAATATATGTATGGTAAAACTACATCTTATTATTTTACCTACGGGCTCACCATAGCCCGTGCTACTTAGAACTTTTTGTTCCAGGTAGTGAATCTTAAACAACATACATCTTATTAGCTGGTGTCTCTCTACGTGAGAAATGGCAACATTTATTTGAAATTATTAAAATCTAAGCTGCACAGAGAAATCACACTATCGTGATATATCAATGAGAAAATTCACATGAGCCGTGATGAGGATTCGAACTTATGTGCTGAGTATTCCCAGATGCGCACTAGACGACTAGACCACGACATGGTCAGAGGAAGAATTGTGTGAGACTCTGACCGTGTCGTGGAGTAGTCGTCAAGAGTGTGGGCATGGCAGCAGTCCTGCTCCAGTGGTGCCCACCAAACCTCTGGTGACTTAAAAGAACTGCCCAGGTCTCTCACTGTTGATATATTTACTTAATAACAACTTTTTCTCCTACTATAGTTATAAAATCAAAAAGCAACACTACCAATTACAAAATACTCAAGCAATACTTTGCCATATGACGTTATCGTGCCGCGAAGAGACTTATTCTGGGAGATTTAAGACGTGACTCCGTTGTTACACACACTGTCTGATAAACAATAATCATCCTTCACCTCCACGGGAGAGTTAAGCTACATGATAATAATTATTTAACAATTTTGACGGGTCTGCTGGTTGCTCATGAAAAATTACGAATAACATGCAAAAAAGTACAAGCTATGCAAAATGCTAACTCGAATATGCAATTTCCTGTGGCTCTTCCATTAAAGAACTGTAAGCTTATCAGTCTATTTGCAAACTTTTTGCTTTTCCTGACTGCAAAAATATATAAATTAATTTACAAGCACACCTTAAATAGCTATGCATAAAAATATTTAGTTATCAGACTGCTAGGCGAATTTACATATTATAGCCTAGCAACAAAATTACCCTCGCTCCAACATTCTCTAAGAGCTTAAATTTATATTGATGTTACTTCACAAATGACAACATGAAGGAATGAACATTGCCAGCCCTGCAACAGCAAGTAAATTACTATTTAATCTTGGCTGATGCTTGCAAACTAAAGAAAAATTACAATTTGCTGAGCAGTAGGCTGTGAGCAGGTTGGTGAAATGAAGCACTAAAGTAATCCAGGAGCTTACTGACCTTTGCCAGCTCGAGCACGACGGCATCAACTATGGGTACAATCATGGCTGCGGCAGCCGTGTTGGAGATCCACATGGAGAGGAAGGTGGTAGTAATCATGAACCCCGCCATCAGCAGGCGAGGACTCTGGCCTGTAGGTGAGACATATACACACCTTCAGAACTGATTGATTGATGAGTGATGAAGATTAAGCCACCCAAAAGGTGGCATGGGCATGAATAGCCCGTAAGTGGTGGCCCTTTTGAGCCATCACCAGTATCAATAGATGATACTGGAGATCTGTGGAGGTGCGACTGCACCCTGCGTGACGGGAGATGTCTCCCATCCTTCAGAACTCTTAGATGCCCGCTCTTATACATACCTCGTGGTTCTCGCCAGTTAAGCGTATAGTTTATACTTGTATGCTTCTCTCCTCAAACATATTTGGCTCTCTATATAATGGCTACAGTTTTAAACATATCGGATTAGTCAGTGTTCCGTTTTGTAGCCCTTAGCCTAGGCTACATTAACCGACCCATATATTAGGCTACTGTATCTTATAGAATTTGAGCAACGACTTATTAATTAATTGTGGTGGGCGACTTGTGCTTATCAGAGGTGTAGTTACACGCTCATATATCGCGGTGCTATATATATATATATATATATATATATATATATATATATATATATATATATATATATATATATATATATATATATATATATATATATATATATATATATATACATATATATATTTATTTATTTATGTCATGTTATATGTCACGGGAATAAATGTCATGTTTTCGGTATGTCGATATTAAAAAAAAGAAAAATTAAATGGCATGTTCAGCAGACGCCTGGGTCACGCGAGAAAGAAACCAACATTAGAAGTTGACACACTTTCTGCAGGAGTTGGGTATATATTTTATTGACACTGGTTCCTGGTTCTGGGGAGGGAATCACTATATTCTGACCCACATAAAACTAGTAGGTAGTGGATCAACAATTACAAAAAAACGAGTTTAATATATATATATATATATATATATATATATATATATATATATATATATATATATATATATATATATATATATATATATATATATATATACACACACACACACGTGGGTGTGTGTTCCCGCGTGCTATTTGACATGGTAACATCTATTACTCATCCAAATTCCCCGATTGTCATGCCAGACAATCATCTACGGCATAACTTAATAAGAAAATCCACAGGAGCTGTGATGAGGATTCGAACCTATGCGCTGGGTATTCCCAGACGCACGCTTTATACGACTAGGCTACAACATGGTCAAAAGAATTGCAACCTGGAGGTTGCAATTTGCAACCCAAAATCACGTTACTGTAATTTCTCTGTGTATTGAAAGAGAAGCATGAGAGGTAGAACTACTGAGTGACAAAGCCAGAGTGCATGGGGGGGGGGGGAGGATAGTGTGAAATCCTAGTTCGACTTCAGTGGAAGCCATGGGAATCCTTGTGGGTTCAGCAGAACCCCAGGTTACAGTTCTTTTGACAATGTCGTGGCCTAGTCATCTAGATTCTAGAGCACACATCTTGGAAAACTCAGGACATATGTTCGAATCCTCCTCACGGCCCCTGTGGATTTTCTCATTGATACATCACGTCACTGTCATTTCTCTGTGTAATAATAATAATAATCATAAAACAGAAAATAAACTATAAATACAACTATAAATACCAGCCGAAAGACCGTAGTTATATTAACATATAAATGGGAAGTTAAGAAGAGGACAAGACAGGCAGCCGCAGACTCTCGCAGTCAAGGAAAATAAAAACGGCTAAATATACACAAGAAAGATAGAAAACTCTTAGTTACTTGTCACTGTTACCGACTCTGACCCAGTGGTTCCTAGACTTTTATGTCTCATTCCCTTTTACACCCGATGTGATCTACTTCCTCATATAAGGTGATCGCCAGATACTTGTACTTAAGTCATATTCAAGGTGTGACAACATCTATCACTGTCCTGATTATGTTACTTGCTCCATACCAGTCTTTTGTTTGACACATTTCATTGTGATAGACAACAGATCTAGTTCCTGTTTGCTCTCATTGCTTTCTTCAACTTATTATGACAGTTCACTCCTGATGATATTTTTTAGGTTTGTATTTAATAGCTCAAGATTATATTGAAAATGGTCTTTATTTACTTCAAGCTTAATTGGCACGGCTTAATACTGTCAGTGATCTGTGACAGTATTACTAGGCCTTACTCTGTGGATGGTTGGAGGGAGGTAGAAAGGGCCAGGGCCACTGGTGTTGGACTGAATGTGTTGCTGGACTCTGAAACTGGGGAAGGAAGACTGTGTTTTGGACTGTGTTGACATTTTATTTTAATATGAAAAAAACCTGAATGGTCCAGAAAATGTAAATCATTAAACACTCTCTGATGCCGACAAGATTTAATACATAATGCATGTATGTGGTAGTATGTATTATACGTTTCAGGGTTGAATTTGTTAAATTATATACACTCCGTTCTTTCTTTCAGTCGATATTCGTTACTTTGTCTATTGTAATCTATATCTATCTACAGTATCTCTTTTTAACTTTCCCCCCTGAGTCCGCCCCCTCCCCCTCCCTTGGATAGTAGGCTGTCTCGTAGCCTAAGTATTTAGCCTCCCACCTCCAGACAAAGCCTCGCTCCCCTGTCACGTACCCACGTGCAGTATGACGAAGAGAGCGATGCGTTTGTGAAGATTGCAGTGCTCTACGGCCACCGCCATGATGAGACCGCCCATGAACATGACGTTGGTATCCTTCAGGTAGACCTGACAGACGGCGCCCGTGGAGAGCACCCCCAGTAGGGGAAAGGCGAACACCGGCACCAGAGCCGTCACCGCCAGTGGAAGCGCCTCCGTCATCCAGTACACTGCCATTACCATGATGACGTAAGCGCATCGCGCTTCCTGCAGGGAAGAGGAAGGATGAAGAGGAGAGAGTTGAGATAAGGACAGTAGCTGGGAGAAGACAAAGGTAAGTTGGCTACTCACGGGGCTAGGGGCGAGAATAAGCAGGAAGGATAGGATGAGGGGCGTGAGGATGACAACAATAGGACGCCACCATTCCAGGACGAGGCTCCCACTACAATGGGTCTTCATGTCACTGTTCCGGCCGCCTCTCTCTCTCTCAGGTCTTCGCTTGCTTTCTCCTGGAGTTGAGAAAAGAATAGAGAGTGAACTTCTTTATTTAAAGACAAGTCTATGTGGATTTAGAGATGAAATACAAATAATTCGGTTGAGTTGAGAGGGAAATGAAGGGAACTATCAGGAGAAAACGCCAAGCCATTACGACTATATAGCACTTGGAAGGGGTCAGGATAAGGATCAGGGATGGGACGGAGGGAAGGAATGATGCCCAACCACTTGGACGGTCGGGGATTGAACGCCGACCTCCATGAAGCGAGACCGACGCTCTACCGTCCAGTCCAAGTGGTTGGGAGTGAAACGTTTTGTCCTTAGCAGGTGAATCTAAAACAACACAGTGAAGCACGTTGGGTGTGGTTGGCAACTGTGCCTACACCTTCGTCCTTGCCTAAGGTAACCCCAATAAGCCAAACATGTTTTCTCTCACCTCAACCTTGACCCTCTAGTTAAATGCATTATTTACCAGTCTGTTTAATATTTCAAGTAAGATTTTGTTTAGCCTAATTAATATAATTAGCCTCGTGAATAACACGAAAATAATTTTACGAGCGAACAAAGCATTTGGTGTTAAGATGACTGGTCTGTGCTCGTGGGAACTTTTGTTTTTAACCAATAGCTATGTTAACGCTGTACGATAACATCTCGGAAACGTTGCGTTGTACAGTGGTGTGGCGGATTGTATCGTTGCTGCCAGGAGTAACATTATAAGAACAGGGGCACATGTCAGCTTCAACCCTGACATTTGTGGAGTACAAGGTCTCAACACCGGAAGTTCTACTTCTCTGTGCATATATCTTATTGGTTACAATACTGCCACTGCTCAGGTGTGCAAGATAGATGTAATTGTTAATGAAATATTCTCCGCTGAGGTCTGATAAAGACCTTCAGTTGTACCTTTTGTAATCCTTTTTGCGCTACCGCTCACCGGATGAGTATGGGGTGTACAATAAACTAGCCACCTTCGGCGGCAACAATAAAAAATCTGTACATTTATACTTTAATGTATATTTTTAACTTTCTTCGGGATTATAATAATGTAATACATACAAAAATTATGAAGTAGTTTTTTAACTGACAGACTGACGAGGGCAATAATAAGAGGCCACACGTTCAGTAGTCTGCACTGGTAAACTTTGGGTGCAATATAAGGATATCCTCAAGAACGCGAAAGTGAATAAAGTAACTGCAAAGCTCCAGGAACCTCATGCCAAAGGATATGAATGGTGTATTTACTGAGCATTCGGTGATGCAGTGTGCGAGATCATGCCCCACTTCCTGCTCACAGAGCTTGCACCTGGAGTGCTCAGGATTGGGAGATCCTGAGCCACTCTTTACCGTCACCTGTAGCCACCTGCCACAGGTAACGGTAACCCAACCTGATCCTGGCAACCACTGTGACGCTCAGTTTGGTGGACGTTTTGTGCTGCCCATAAACATTGGTTTCAGATCTGAACAAATCATAGTTTTTATACTGATGTTTTCAGGTCGTTGGGAGTCAGTAATTTCTCTCCTATCAGACCTGAATGTTAGGAACAATATAGATTTGACAGCAGAGGTGGGGATACCTGGGTCTAATTCAACTTCATCTTTGTTACATGCTAATTTGGCTGCAATGTCTGTGTCATTATGATCGGGTTATATTTATGTGTAATGGTATTCATACAAAGGAGATTCGAAACCCTTTACTCTGTGCAGCAATTAAATCGTCGTTACTATAGGTACTGCCAAAACAGGAAGAAGGGTTGCAGTAAATAAGTACCTGAGAGTTAGACAGCTGCTACGGGCTGCTTCCAGGAGTATGTATGTGTGCGTTTGTTTGAGAGAAATATATATGTAGTAGACATAATAGAGGACAAATAGATTGGTTAAAAAGGCGGGGTTCAAGAGCTAATAGTTCGATTCTGCAGATACAAATAGTAAACACACACACACACACACACACACACACACACACACACACACACACACACACACACACACACACACACACACACACACACACACACACACACACACACACGTGGTGTGTACGTACCCCAGTTAAGAATACATTAAGTTCAACTGGCAATCAATAAAAAATTTTAAGAGCCACTTTCCTGAATTACTGCGTAACGCCGGAGGGTGTTAGGAGGGGGGTGATGTTTCCTACAATAACTGCTCTTATATACTTACTCCTGACTGTAACCTCCTTATAGGCAGTTTCCTTTTGTGCACTCGCTTATCTGTGCTTCATAGTCGAGATTCAGCTCCTGCGTCCCACCTCCCTGCCTTCAAATCCAAGTATCGAGTTTGCTGCTTTAATTTATGACACGTTTTTACTATCCTGATTTAGGTAGTGCGTGAGTTGTGCCTAGATGTGCATGCTGGGTAGAGCGCCAGCTCCTAAACCCCGCCCTTCTAGCAACTGATCCAGTAATAAAACAACTCACTTTCCCTTCCCTTCCGTTTTTTGTAATATTTTATTTTTAAACTTAAATTATTTGTCTGTACAATCTCTATTTGTCTCTATAGTCCTTGCCTCTACAGTATAGACGTACACAACGTTGAGGACAACACCCTGACACAGACTTACACAACGCTGAGGACAACACACTGACACACACTTACACAACGCTGAGGACAACACCCTGACACAGACTTACACAACGCTGAGGACAACACCCTGACACAGACTTACACAACACTGAGGACAACACCCTGACACAGACTTACACAACGCTGAGGACAACACCCTGACACAGACTTACACAACGCTGAGGACAACACCCTGACACAGACTTACACAACGCTGAGGACAACACCCTGACACACACTTACACAACGCTGAGGACAACACCCTGACACACACTTACACAACGCTGAGGACAACACCCAGACACAGACTTACACAACGCTGAGGACAACACCCTGACACACACTTACACAACGCTGAGGACAACACCCTGACACAGACTTACACAACGCTGAGGACAACACCCTGACACACACTTACACAACGCTGAGGACAACACCCAGACACACACTTACACAAAAGAGATGACAGCACCATGAAGCTCATCGGTCGCCAAGTTGCAATCACTAACGGCACATCAGTGAATATCCTGCAGGTGGACTCACTGTGTGAGACACACCTGCAGGTGGACTCACTGCACAATATACACCTGTAGGTGAACTCACTGCACAATATACACCTGCAGGTGGACTCACTGCACAATATACACCTGCAGGTGGACTCACTGCACAATATACACCTGCAGGTGAACTCACTGTGCGAGACACACCTGCAGGTGGACTCACTGCACAATATACACCTGCAGGTGGACTCACTGCACAATATACACCTGCAGGTGGACTCACTGCACAATATACACCTGCAGGTGGACTCACTGCACAATATACACCTGCAGGTGGACTCACTGCACAATATACACCTGCAGGTGGACTCACTGCACAATATACATCTGCAGGTGGACTCACTGCACAATATACACCTGCAGGTGGACTCACTGCACAATATACACCTGCAGGTGGACTCACTGCGCCAGATATACCACCAGTCCCTCTGTGGTCACAAATATAAACACTAGCAAGGGGATACGTACACCGAAATTTATCCTATTCCTCGGTGTATATGCAGCGAGAAATACAAATTTACTAAAGTATACTTGCTGTTGGCTTTTGTGTTGGCCATAATAGCTCTCCGGAGGTTGGTAGGCCTTCAGCCCTCTCTAGACCAAGAGGGACCAGGAAGGTGGTGGAGGAGATGCAGAGTCGGTGGTGCGAGCATCGTGGGAGCTGTTGACAACATTCTTCATAATATTGGCTGTAGCCTAAGAGCGTCACACACTACCAGACGGACCAGTAGATCAGTAAGGAGAGGTTTCTTGGCGTAAGAAATGATGTAATTAGAGATTACATTGGGTGTTCCAATATATAAACATTAATAATTCAAACAGCCGTATGTATGATATGTTTCCAAACATGGAAACACATCATGCATACAAATTCAAAAACTGTCGATGAAATCTTGCATTTGACCTATTAGTTCATCAGCATTTTCAACAAGAGAGATCGCCGCGGCCTTACTGCTAGTTACAAGACCAACGTCCTCAAGGTTCCCAACCTGACCCAACTTTGTGAACAACGGGAGCCGGTCGGCCGAGCAGATAGCACGCTGGACTTGTGATCTTGTGGTCCTGGGTTCGATCCCAGGCGCCGGCGAGAAACAATGGGCAGAGTTTCTTTCACCCTATGCCCCTGTTACCTAGCAGTAAAATAGGTACCTGGGTGTCAGTCAGCTGTCACGGGCTGCTTCCTGGGGGTGGAGGTCTGGTCGAAGACCGGGCCGCGGGGACACTAAAGCCCCGAAATCATCTCAAGATAACCCGATGACGCAAATTACAACACAAGAGCGTCAGTCAGCGGCAGCGTTACTTTGGCGGTACCACTCTAGAGAACATCACAACTACAGCCATCATTCATTCTCCGTGTGATGGTATTTGGAACATATTCCCACAACAACTAGATATTGGACAAACCTAGTAAACCCCACAATGTGAAGGTCCGTTAACTCAGTAAATTTATGAATATATTTACATAGAAGAGAAAAGAATTAAAGAGAATTAAAGAGAAGAGAAGAGAAGCAGAGTGAGCAGTAGTTGGGGCAAGCAGGCAGGTGAGGGTGGAGGCCAAAGCCAAGTCAATACTGTTCACAGAGGAGGGTGTCGCGTGACGACCTCACGTGTTGTGTGGAACACTGTGGGCGGGGAGCACCTGCTGGGGGTGATGGAGGCCTGGCAGGGAGAGTGGGGCAAGGCACAAGGGGGGGGGGGAGGAGGGGGGGGGAGAGAGAGAGAGAGAGAGAGAGAGAGAGAGAGAGAGAGAGAGAGAGAGAGAGAGAGAGAGAGAGAGAGAGAGAGAGAGAGAGAGAGAGAGAGAGAGAGAGACACGATGAACAACCCAGCGGGTTTTCTTCCTATTGGGGGGTGTTGTACATGCTGCTATGGCGGTATGTCCACCCACAGGATGGATGGCGCTGTCCAATTAAATTTAATTAAGAGATGGAAAATTTGGTTCAATTACCTGAATCGATGGTAACTGAAGAATGGCGAGAAGGGCAGAGAGAATACTTTAAGTTTATGACAATAATGCAATATAATATAAAATGGAAAAACAAAGGTAGGAGGAAAGGGAGAATAAAAGAGAAGAGATATGAGGAGAAATATAAGGAAGGTTATTGAGGTGATTTTCAAGTGATTTACGATGTGGAGGCCTGAAGTGAGTGTTGCCATGACGACCAAGAATGTTCTGTATGGCAACGATGGCCTTCCTCCTCCCCCTTGTAGGCAAGTATACACCAAAAACACTACGTGGGAACACACTAAACTGCCGCGAATGTTGTTTGAACTCCCTGACGTCACAAGGTTCATATTGATCCCTGACCAATGGTAATACAGGACGATGGCGTGGTGATGACGTCTCAAGGCTCACACTGACCTCCTGACCAATGGTAATACAGGACGACGGTGTGGTGATGACGTCACGAGGCTCACACTGACCCCCTGACCAATGGTAATACAGGACGACGGTGTGGTGATGACGTCACGAGGCTCACACTGACCCCCTGACCAATGGTAATACAGGACGACGGTGTGGTGATGACGTCACAATGACATACAGTCAAATTCGTTTCCCATTTTTGGTGACTGGAAGCCTGTTAGGCCTATTAAAGTCCCTCCCCCCCCCCTTATTCAAACAACTGATCTTTTTACCAAGATGCAACCCACAACAGTTGCATACCTCCCAGGTACCTATTGACTGTTAGGTGAACAGAGGCATCAGATACAAAGAAACCTCCCCAAACACCTTTTGATTGTGAGGTGAATGCCGACCATTACACCACAGGGGCCCCCATGTATAGATTCATGCATTTCAAGGACAAGAATGCTTACCTTTATTTAATATTTCATATTACCACAAAATTTGCTACACACATCAGCGAGGCGCAACACTGCCTGACCTTGAAGGACATGTACCTGGGAGTTAGGCAACTGTTGTTGAGGTGCATCCTAGGGAGTCAGTTGTCATCCTAGGGTCAGTTGTCATCCTAGGGTCAGTTGTCATCCTAGGGAGGGTCAGTTGTCATCCTTTGGAGGGTCAGTTGTCATCCTAGGGAGGGTCAGTTGTCATCCTAGGGAGGGTCAGTTGTCATCCTAGGGAGGGTCAGTTGTCATCCTAGGGAGGGTCAGTTGTCATCCTAGGGAGGGTCAGTTGTTCGACCTGGGGGGGGGCACGATACTAGCCTAAAGTATATACACAGGATTCCTGTTCCTGATAAAACTAATTATTAAATGACATTATCATCATCTAGCCTAATAATAAGATTCGCAATAATAATACCAATTAAACTATATTAAAAATAATAACTATCATATATAAATGAATTAGCATTGATAAATATTTGTAATATAAACATTTGATAAGCATTTTTGTAAACTGAAAAGATGGGGAGCATTTGTGGGGGTGGGGGGAGGTGGATGGTGTAGGGGTCAGTTAAGGGTAAGCTGTACATGACTCAGTTTGGGCCCCATACATGTCTCCTCTCTCCCCCACCGCCTCTATAACACAGGTATTAACGTGCATATATTTAACGTTGTATCTGGATGGATACATACAAAGAAAATGGTATATACTAAATAATAACCCTATCATCACCAATACCACATTTCTCGTCTTTACCAACATGCTCAATCATATTTCTCACCATGATCAATCATATTTCCCACCATGATCAGGTATTAACGTGCATATATTTAATGTTGTATCTGGATGGGATCTACACCAACAGAATCACCACTTATATTTTACATTCATATTGTCCATCAGTAACTTATTCCTAATACATATATTTAATAATAGTCCGAAACTAGTGGACTATTAGCTGCTAATTTAGTTCATATTTTCTTTGTTAATGTATAATATAACTTTAGTGCTTAAGTCTAAGAAGGCATAAGAAAAGCCTGAATTGTCGCCACATCGAAGCAAGGAGTCACCGCCGGGTCAGACACGGGTTCAGTAGCCTCCTTTACGAAAATCAATCCCTGTCGATCTAAGACATACTTAGCCTAGGCTAGTATTATTACTACGTATTGTTTGAAACACTACCATGAATGTATGACATGTATGCATACACGAGGGTATAAGAGAAGAGATGGGGCCATACAGGGCTACACTTGAGGGGAAAACCAACACATATTATGATAGAGTATATACTTGATGGAAAAGCAGCACATAACATAAGGAAGCATGTACTGGATGGAAAAACTGATATAAAAGTTATCTCCATTCGTGGTTTAAGTAGCTAGTCGCTACTTAAGTATAAGCGGGCAAAGGTCCTAATGTCTCTGTTCACCTAGCAGTCGCTACACAGTATTAGCGACCAAAAATACGGATCCAGGGACTCGAGCTCGCAAAAATAAATTAGAGGGTAAACGGATAAAACTAAGGAGAGAAAAAACGTAACAAAAGAGCCTAATGCAGAATGTAGGTAAACGATAGCCAAGTTCAGCAGGGAAGTGGACCCATCAATAGAGAACGTGAGCGGGAACATCAACACTACAAATTGACTACTACAGCCTCTCTCTCACTCACACACACACACCCGTCTGATAAAACCTGTGTATTATTTTAAGTTACAATATTTTCACTGAATTTTAAGAACTACAGCCTAATAATTGAACACCCCACAAACTGAATTGACCCCATTTCCAAACGTAACATTGTAAGTAGTTTTGTCCAAACCAAAGCGTACGACCCAAGGTACAGAGCCTAATATATGGAGACCCCAGCAGGTAGGGTATAGAGGTCCATTAGTGTGAGGTAGTGTGAGAGAGAGGAGGGCAGACTGCGCCAAGGCTTCCAGCTCGGTATTGACATACTGCCCCCTTGTATTTTGCCGCAACACAACCCGAGCTCAGGCACCTGAAACACAGTTGTGTGTGTGTGTGTGGCGTCACCTCCCTACACTCTACACGTGATTAATGCTGTTATGATTCATATTACTGTACAAGTCATCGACGAGGCTGCTGAAGATAGCAGGGTTATTAATCTTCTATCATTGTTTTTGGTGTCTTACTTAAGAAAACTAACAGACTTGAGCGTTCCATTCAGTGGTAATGACCTGTTTAACTTACTTATATTTCTAATATTAAAAGGAAAGCGTTGCTAGGTACACATTAATGTTTAATCTTGCCGTGAACACGCTTGTCATAAGCAATTTATGTACTGCTCAATTTTCCTCCATAAGTACAAATGTTGAGGCGGTAAAGCAACATGTTACATTACAAACATCAGTCACTCTGAAGCTCTTTATGGAAAGCAACATTTACGAAGTGTATAACAGTTATGGAGAGGTAGTGACTTACTTGATGATGAGAGCCTCAGCGGTCCGTCCTCTCACTGTGGCACCATATGCAGTACTGACCGACTGGTCCTACCTCAGGCGTGCCCGGCCAGCCCTGTCACCCCAGCCTTGCCTACCCTAGCCTTACCCACCACTGTCACCCCCAGCCTTACCCACCACTGTCACCCCAGCCTTACCCACCACTATCACCCCAGCCTTACCCACCACTGTCACCCCAGCCTTACCCACCCCTGTCACCCCAGCCTTACCCACCACTGTCACTCCCAGCCTTACCCACCACTGTCACCCCAGCCTTACCCACCACTGTCACCCCAGCCTTACCCACCCCTGTCACCCCAGCCTTACCCACCCCAGCCTTACCCACCCCAGCCTTACCCACCACTGTCACTCCCAGCCTTACCCACCACTGTCACCCCAGCCTTACCCACCACTGTCACCCCAGCCTTACCCACCACTGTCACCCCAGCCTTACCCTCCACTGTCACCATATCTCTGGCAATTGAATTTGCATGAGACACAAGAGCATTAGATACTAGGCTGTTGAAATGAGAAGGTACATTGGGTTTTTGAGAGTACATATCGTTGATGTTTTTACATTCCTGTAAAGCCACTAGTACGCATAGCGTTTCGGACAGGTCCTTAATTTATTTATCTAACAGATAATTTTAAGTAGGTAATTTCTAGCAAAATCGAAAAAATGTTAACAGGTACAGTTTAAGAAAGTTAGAGAAAGATTATTAGATACATTAAAGTACAATTTGAAGGTAATCAACAGGTACATTGTAGCATAATTTGAGGATAATTTCAAGGTATAATGCAGTAAAGTATGGGTTCAATATAACAACCATGATATAAGATGATAGCAATGATTACAATGGTAAAGGTACATATATTGGGGAATTGGGCAGCACTAGATACAGTACTAGTTTAAAGCACTAGGTAGGAAACTAAGATGAAATTATGTACTTTTTGGTTTTATTTTTGAATAAGGAAAAAGTTGGATAGCTATAAGATAATGGAAAAAATAAGTTACTTATAAACTTAACCGCTAACCTTGTGTAACTCCACGTATTTATACTTTCTTGTGTCCAGTATTCAAATGTAAAATATGTATTTTTACATTTTACATTTATGTAAAATATTACTTACATAACTTAGGTAAATTTGTAAATATTATAGTTATACATAGAAGTTGCAGTGCATGTATAGTGGTTCAGTTACCAGCAATGTCATTAGGATTAAGTATAATATGTAGGCTATATAGCATTTCTAACAATAAATAAGTGCATACAAAAGTACATTAGGGGTACCGGTAGTACAGTCGGGGTCGTTCTTGACTCACAATTGAGAATTTCGGGTTCGAATCCCGGGCGGGACAGAAATGGTTGGGTGCATTTACTATCACCTAATGTGCCTGTTCACCTGGTAATAAGTAGGAACTCAGGAGTTAGTGAGCTTGTTGTTGGGTTGCTTCCTGGGCGGGGTTAGTATTCTACATTTGGGGGAATGGGACCTCGATATAAAATTAAACTAAAAACTATAATGTTTGTCATATAATGACAGTGAGAAAATGTAAGCCATAAGAAAGAAAACGGACTAAAGTTAAACAGTAACGTTATCAAAATAACAGATGATATTGTATAATAGCCATATAGTGTCTGGAACAGGTACGGGCTAACTATAGCCCGTACTACACGGACATTTCGTTCCGAGTAGTTAAATTTAAAACAACAGTTGAGACAGGAAGCCAGGGCAAGGCTTGTCGGCTATCGCAATTCCTCTAACGAGGGATCGCCCGTCCAGCCATGAGGCTTCAAGCAACCCGAACTCGACTCAAGTCCATTACATCCAGAGGTCTACCCCACAGACGCATTCATAAATTTTTACATGCTGTTCATTCAAAACGGGAATTTTCTCAAATATAAATAAATATTATAATACATTAGCATATTGTGAATATATGGTTAGGTTAGGTTAGGTTAGGTTAGGTGGTTAGGTTCTGTTGGCGATTAGTTGTATTTGTAATACGTGGGTGAAGCATTCATAGCGTTGTGGTTCGAACAAAATTCGTCGGTGAAGCACTTGTTCCGGAAGCGTTCGAACTATAGCAGTTGTGAGTCGTGTGTAAACCGTTTTTCATTCATAAACAGCGAGTTTGGCGGGTGCATGGAATCATTTTTGGGTGTTTGGAGGACTGGCTGCTTCAAGAGGGTGAGGGCATCTTCGAGAGGGAGCCACCAATGCACCTTTTAATCACTCCTTTTCCTAAGTATTAATTTTCCCTTCCCATCTAAGCTGTAGTCATAATGGCTTGGCGCTTGTCCCTGATAATTTCTTCCTTCCTTCCCTTCCCACCTAAGAAGATAATTTGATATCAATCCAAGCTTCGACTTGGAGCAAGGCACAATCTTAAAGGCTCAAGCCTTGCGTAGTCTATTGTTACTAAGTGTAGTTTGGGTTGCTTAACCATTTGTTGCAAGAGTGGAGCGTCTAGCCTCATCCAACTTTGTAAGATCTTGGGTACGGGACGGCCATAGGCTGGTCGGGGGTCACGCCCCTTTGCACGAAGACCTAGGACAGGTTTTAAGACCTGGGATTCGAACCCAAGATGGGGATAAGGGGATGCATGAAATGACAAATTACACTGATTTTCAATCTCTCTAAATAGTGACCTACTCCTTACATAATCGGTGAAAATTCCAAGCCTACTACTTTATCTCGCTAAATATCCAGACTTCATTCTCTATTAGATGATTAAGCATTGCCTGGCTATTAGGCACGATATATATATATATGCATAAACATATAGCTTATCCATCTACGGGCTTACCATAGCCCGGCTGTACTTGGAACTTTTATTCCGAGAAGCTGAATCTATAAAAACAACAGCTTATCCACGTCGAATGAAAGACTAATAATAATTTATTGACTTAAACATATATTCTGTTTAAACGTGTATATTTTTGTCTTGCCATCATTATCATTACTTAATTATATTAAACATAATTACGGAGTGGCGTTATTCACTTATTTATGACATTGCCTGTGATTGGTGGCTCGAGTTGCCAGTTAGTAAACACCAAACAATATTTGTGGTGAATGTGGCGCGCAAGTTGTCCGGTAAAAATCATGTTTTACGCAATGATTGTCTGGCAAATGTGATAACAAGTGGAATATTTTAGACTTTTAGATATCAGATGGAGAGTTAGATATTTAAATGTACGAAATTGATTTTCTACAGATGCAGAATAAGGTTAGTGATGTTACCTGCTGCCGGGATGGATGGGTCAGTGTTCCTGCCATGTTTAGGCTCTACGTCAGGCTGCGAGCAGCCGCGTCCAACAGCCTGGTTGATCAGTCTAGCAACCAGGAGGCCTGGTCGACGACCGGGCCGCGGGGACGCTAAGCCCCGGAAGTACCTCAAGGTAAGGTATTTTGGGCTTGAGGCCTATGATCCGTGGGTTGGTTATTAAGGCCAACTCTAAGCTTATTGACTAACCAACAAAGACACTTTATTGTGAACATAGTTCAGGACTAAAGTAAACTCAGTCCGTGGAGGACAGAACAACATGTATATAAAGCTGGTTAGCATTGTAAATGTATGGCCACGTCATTAGTAAAAAAAAAGTGTATTTACACTTGGTATAGTAAGGGGGCCCTGACAGCTGAGTGGACAGCGCTCGGGATTCGTAGTCCTGAGGTTCCGGGTTCGATCCCCGGTGGAGGCGGAAACAAATGGGGAGAGTTTCTTTCACCCTGATGCCCCTGCTACCTAGCAGTAAATAGGTACCTGGGAGTTTAGATGGCTGCTATGGGCTGCTTACTGGGGGTGTGTAACTAAAAGGAGGCTTGGTCGAGGACCGGGCCGCAGGGACGCTAAGTCCCGAAATCATCTCAAGATAACCTCAAGATATCACCGAGAAATGAGGTACACAGGGGTGTATATCCCATGTGTGATCTGCCATAGTCAAGACCCCATGGGTATACAACCTTCTGGGCATAGAGCTTGCTCCTCGTAACTTCTTACTAGTTGAAGACTCCGTAAAACACAATACTTCATAAATTTCTCAGGCAATTGCATGGTCTTTTTCCAATTGAGTCGTCATTTTAATATCTTTATATATAGTTCTGGCCTTCATAATGCTTTTTATGAATACGTTGCTTTCACTGATGGTGTTAAGGATATTTTTAATATTAGGACGAGTAATATTAAGTTTTAACATGGAGGTGTATTCTATATTGCTGTTATACTTGATGTCTCATTCATACCACGTCGCTACAACCTCCCATAAAAAATGCAACTGTATTTATGATATCTTTATACAAATTGATGCTTTTCTGTTTAATATAATTGAAATAAAAGCATTGTGGTAAGTCAATTAGTTTGCCATATGGTATGATGGATGGTTTCGTCCAATTTCTCCTCGCTTCCCTCACCTCCAAACCTTGAGATGACAGGCATGGCTCGAAATAAAATAAGAAGCGGAATAGTGCTCTGACAACATTCTCCTTCTGCAATTAACTATTCTATTAATTTTTTTTGTAAGAACTATGCCAAGTATGTCTTTCACACTATGAAGCATAACTTCCTTTAAAATAAATGTGATGTAATCTTAGACTGAAAGCTTCCTTCGGTCTTTTGCAATAAATATATCATAACTTATGTCAGTCTTCTTTTTCATCTTCTCTTCTTGGTGAGTGGGCATTGTTCCTTCCTAGAATCCTCATATCCCAGCACGTATCCCTGCCATGTGTTGTATAGCCATCTTGACATTGAACTTTCATCTCATAATTTCCTCGTTTCGTTCATTCTAGCGGCTATATATAGCTGTCTTCTACTATCAGGCCAACTTTTTATGCCAGTATTTTTCTTCTAACATTTAAGCTCTAGTCGTTTGCTTCTCGTCTCAATTGAAATTGAAATTGAAATAAGTTTATTGAGGTAAAATACACACAAAGGAATGAGGTAGCTCAAGCTATTCTCACCCCGTTCAGTACATCGTGTTAATACATACATATACATACATCACAAACAATAAACATATTACCAAACATTCTGAGAGATAAACATCTACATTTCCTATCTCGT